TGCACTCACAAAATTGGTTGGTAAATTCAACGAGTGGGTGCATCGACCTGGTATATCAAGTTTCTGCAATTTTTTACGGCAAATCAGTAGATTTTCGGGATGTAGATTGCTTACTTTCAATTCATGAATGAATAAAGCAACGACATGGTTGAACTTCTTTGCATGGAAAGACGTTTAAAATAACAAAATCAAGACGTATTTAATGCAATTGCATTTATATCGAGTCAATTTCTTTTCAATAATATAACGGGATTTTTACTACCGGTGATTTGGGTATTTTAGCCCCAAAATACCTTTAAATCGACTTTATCTTCTAGGAGTTCGACAGAATTTTTCCTTTCTTCGCTTAAATTATTCCGTAGCACTTTTCTTCAAGAATCTGATAAGATTTTGCTTGAGGCAGATCAAAAAACTTAAATTCGATCGAATAGCTTTCTACTTTCACAATACACGGTCTCGTCAAGGTGCGTCTTTGACCTCGCAGTGTTGGATCGTGAATTCTCTTTTTATGCTGTTTGCCTATTTTGAAATCTCTGTAAATGAAAACTAAAGGGGTTGATATGTGCGAGTTAATGACGCGCCTTATCAACACATTGTGTTGGAGTTCACTGCTTGTTTTTTTTTAATCTTTATTTTATTTCTCCTACTTTACAGTATTAGAAAATTTTACTTGAACATCTATTTACATAACTTAAGTTCGGAAAAAACATGTTTGACTGAGAGGAGTTGATCCGCATCGAAATGACGAATATGATCCACTTACGGCGCATTGCAAAGCTGCTGAATTTGAGAAATTTTTTTTTAATCTTTACTACATTTCTCCTACTTTACAGTATTAGAAAATTTTACTTGAACATCTATATTTACATAACTTATGTTCGGCAAAAACATGTTTGACTGAGAGGAGTTGATCCGCATCGAAATGACGAATTTGATCCACCTACGGCGCATTGCACAGCTGCTGAATTTGAGAAAAAAATGATCGCTTCAATTGAATGAAATTCATGTCATAAAAACGACTATTAGGAATGATTCCGGATCATTGTTGGAAAAATCACTCATTACAGGAACCGCGCGCAAGGACGGAGTAAAATTGCGACTCTTTCGCGGAATGCATGTCGTAGGTGCTCATTATTGCGGCAACACCAACGTGATCATTACGCATGACCCATTGTCGCTCCGACCATAATGTTGATAGCGCTCCTGAGTTGAGGAAAAACGCCGTATGGACTTTCCAACGCAGCCAGATTTTCTTGAATAAATTTTTTTCAGAGGGGAATCGACACACCTATTTATATAAAGTGCTCAGTCGAATTTCTTCGACATAGAGTGAGAGTGTTTGACGGAACAGAAATCCTTTTTCGCCTCCTGAGTAGTTTTTCTTTTATCTACAAAAACGTTGTTTGTCAGAGTTGGAACTCTGTACTAAGCGCCTCAATTTTGATTATTTTCTGTTCACATTTTAAGATACTTAATATCAAAGGAGCAGAAGCCGTTCATGAGAACGAACACTCTGAGAGGGGTCTGCGTCTGTGTTTTTTTAGGGGGGAGGGGGGAGGGACCACGTCACGTAAAGTTTGATCCTTTTTTTTAATATACTTTTCTTTCAGATTAAATAGAGAGTTTTCTTTCATAATTTGCTTTTTACTTTCATACCTTATTATGGTTTCTTTAATTTTTATTTTATTCACTTTGCATTCAGTGTTAATTTGCCTTCCTTCGTTTCATTCGTCTCCGTAATTGGACAACTTATTTAACTTTCTTTGGCTACTTTTCTTTTTTTCAAAAATATAACACAGGAAGGGGAAAACACGAGGTTTATCAGTTATTTTTCTACATTAAGAGGGAGCAAGGGTTGCGTTAAAAATTTCTTTAGATGGGCACAGACCTGCTTTAAAGGTGCGGCACGAGAGGAGAGAGGGGAAGACGGGGTAAAAAGCCTGTTACCATCGTTACGTTTTTTATAAGCGGCGCGATATTGCGAATGAATATGTGAAAAATTAGAAGAAACATATTTGCAGGTTTTCTCCCATAAAAAATGTTCCCGAAGATAAAGCTTGGCAACGTATGTGAGCTCATGCAGCGTTTTGAAACATTGTCGTGCTCCTCGAGTTTTCCTGCATTAAATCGATAAAAGTGGTCAGGTTGAGCCCTACAATCAAATTTTAATAATCGCAAGTGCGTTCGCATTCATCGGACCCAATTTAGCTGCGGACCACCCTCATGGGATGATACGGCAATATTGTCCGATGCAGAGTCCTTTTACACATCACGAATGTCAAGTTCAAGCACGTGTATCCAGTGTTTACCTCTCCTGGACAACGTCCGGCAATAATTGGACTACATTTCGCAAAGAGGAACTACATTTTCTGGAGTATTTTATCGACGGCATAAATCGTCGTTTCCCGCACGAAGGAACGTAACGCCATCCCAAGGTTGCAAAATTGTCTCAAACAATTTATTTTTTTACAAGAATATACCCATAAAATTTCCGTCCAAAACTCTTCTGATTTTTGCATGAGATACGGAAAAAAATTAGTGGAAATTTCAGTTAGAAATTCCCAGAATTCTCTTGGTAAAGGTGCAATTTGCGAGGGAATATTTGGCAACATTGGAATGTAGTTAAGTTCTTTCGTGAGGGGAACGACGAGATGTGTCGTTATAGTGTCCCTATGCATATATCGTCACCATCCGGCCAAAGTATCACAAGCTTCATGCGACGTTTCAAAATTTCCGCCGCAATTTTATTTTTTTTGCAGAGAGATTTTTCAACGAAGCTGTCCAAAAAGGTCACTGAATTTACTTTAAGCTCCCGATAAAATTCAGTGAAATTTTCAAACAGATTCAACCAACAATTTCTCTGTAAAATAATAAAATTGGGGCGGAAATTTTGAAACGTCGCATAGCGCTTGTTATACTTTGGTCGGAAGGTAACGATTTATAGATACTTTTCTGAATGAGCTATATTTCGACGGTGAAACTACCAGACCACTTGGCCCTGTTTGCGAAATTGCACACTTCCTAGCTGTCATTCTTTAATTTTAAATGGAAAACCACGCAATGTCAATTCTTGAAAATTTCCGTGATTTTACGTCTCTATGCGTGGTGAAAACTTGAAGGAATGAAATTGGTTTGGTCTCATTCAAAAAAATTAAATAGGAGCGGAGATTTTTAAACACAGCAAACGAGATATTTGATCTGGTAGTGTCATCGTCGATATCGTAGTTCCTAAATGCAGAATGAAATTCAATTGGATAAGAGCGCAAACTACATAGGTATCCACATTGAGAATTTTGCAAAAGGAACATATATGCAATAGCTCAAGACTTTCAATATAATATGAACCATGCCAGGAACCACATTTTTGGCTCATCTGCAGAAGCACTTATCGGTATGAGAAAACTTATGATACGCAGCGTATGAGACGTTGTTTCTAAAATTAGTCAGGTATAATAGTTCTTTACTGCAAAATGTATAGCATGTAAGATAGGGGGTCATGGAAAATCGGAAGAAGGAGAATAAGAAAAATAGGGAGATGATGGAGAAAATATTGGAAGTAAAGAGGGGGAAGAGGTAAAAGAATGGGAGAAGAAAGAGAAGAAAAAGAAGGATGAGAAGAGGAGAAAGAAGACGAGGAACCACATAGGTATTTACCGTTTAAATTTTAGAAATCTATGTGAAATTTGTCTGTTTCTGAGGGCTTTCTAATAATTTAGTCATCGAGAGCCCTTTAAGCGATGAATCATACCCTGTCATGAACACAGTAATTAGCGATCAGAACAATGCTTTATTTTCATGGCTATTTTTATTTTTCAATAAACATCATCACGTTATACAGATCCGGATGTTTTTGCCCTAGGCATAAAGTTCTCTCCGAGATGCCGCGTTGCATCGATGAGATCAAAATATTTTGAATGAACTTCATTATTGGGAAAATTCTTACAAGAGAAGTCCATCTACATCAGAGACAATACATTTTAGAGGCCCTGCACTATCAATCTAAGCAGTGTAATCGAACAAGACAAAAGTTAAATTCGGAGGTCAACGATACTTCTCGAGCAGAAATGAGAGGCTTAGAGGAGTAGGAGGACAGGGCGCATAGGTAAGTGCAGTTTTTTCTGTTTCGAGAAATACGTGTTTGAAGTTTCGAAATTACATGGATCCTTAAGGCGGAAAGAAAGTTCAAACTGACTTTTTATGATGCTTAAAACTTGGAGTTTGAGAGCAAATTTTACAGAGAATGTGCATTTAGACTGGTTTTACTTGAACTCATTAATATTTCGCGATTTTTTTTTTAAAACCGCACTTGTGCACTTCGTCCTCCAAGCCCTCAAATGATTATTTTTGATCAACTTGTTGAGCATGAGGCATCCAGTCCATAACGATGTCAATATATAGGACCCAGGAATTTTTTCCTGCATAGAAAAAAAGGGGCACTTATTTGAAGGTTTAGTTACTATATGAAAGCCATTTGTATAGAGACTTCAATGATTTTATTTTAAAATCTTCAGATCAAGACTTGGCAAAACGTGCTCGCTAAGACAAAGTCGGGGACAAATGGAATTCTTACCTGCAATACTTGCAAGAATCTGATGGAGAGTTCCATTTTGTGGCAACAGCTTCATGATTCCGTCTGTTCTTTCAACAGCCTGCAATGAATCCGGCTGAAAAAAAGGAATTAAATTTAAAAAAATTATCAAATCACATCGCATTAATAATAAAATGTTGTAAATTTTAGTTAGTCAGTTCTTTATCGATTCATTTAAAAATTTGTAAATTTTATTTTGAGTAATTAAATATGTGACTACCAACGGATAAAGGAAGCAGAGTCCACGAAATATTGGAATCGAATTGATACCAGAGTATAGTGGAGCTTGACGCAAACACTTGGAGGAAGGATTATAAAAATAGGATTATAAAAATGCAAATATTTGAACAAAAAATTAGTTTAAACCACGGAAAAGATTATCTATACTATAAGCTCCGAGACCTAGTTTTGCGTAAATGGTAACGATTAGTGCCAGCGTTCTACCGGGGCGATTTTCATGATTTTTTCGGCTATCGACGGGCAATTGTCTTTAGATGAGCCCGCATTATTCAGATTTTCAAGATATGATCCCGATTTTTTTATATTACGTGGTAAAGTTGCGAATTTTCCCATTTAAACAATGTAAATGTATGTTTTTTGTCATAGTTCGTTTGAGCGTTCTACCGGGCCGATTTCCATGATTTTTGCGGTTATCGACAGGTGATAGGCCCTAGATGAGCCCGCTCTAATCAGAATTTGAAAATAGGACCCAGGTTTTTGTCTACCTATAAGGGTAGACGAGAGACCTTAGAGAGGGGGCAAAATTTGAAATTCCGCTTATGAAAAATGGCGAGAATTTCAAATCTGGCGGAAAATTGAACAAAGCGGGAAATATTGAAGCTTGGTCTGTTAGTAGGGTAAGTGAATCGAAGGTATGCTCCATTGCTACAAACTATTCAAGAGCGACGAAAGGCTCCGTTCTATTTCGTTTCAGTATTGCCGTGAAGTTTCGAGGTAAATGCCGATTTTGTCATTCGATTCTTATTGGTCCAGTCGCTCCCAGCCAGAAGGAGATTGGACAAATGAGAGTTGAGTATGAAAATCTTTTCATTTTTTTTGGTTGTTCATATGTCGAAGCGGGCCTAAGAGAGCGCGAAGCGCCTTGTGGGGGATGGGCCGCGTAGCGGCCAGGGGACATAGCTCCCTAGTATTTTTATGGGGAAAACTCTACGGTTTTCTCCAGAATAAATGCCCTGCCAGATAAAAATAAAATATCGCTCTCCGTTGTAGGCTGGGCAAGATAACAACACTGAAGGGTGAACACAAATTATGATCCCGTCCTCTCTCAACCTCTGAAGAATCTAGCAGAAGCTCGGAATTACTTTTAGTGAGGAGTGACGTAAAATCATTATTAGCTTACTTAAAATCTTTGCACAAATACAGTTTATTTTTTGAATGCAAAATAAAAATTGAAATAAAAGAACCAAAATTAAGATGATTTTGACGTGACTTTTCGTTTTTGTGTATGTTTCTTCGGGAAAAATGCTTAAAAATGCTTGGTAGTTGCTCAGAAAATTCGCATCCTCGCTCCAGTGTAACTTCAAATTTCAGATTTGGACTATAATGAATTAGCTGAATGGCTGTATAATATTGACGATAGAGTATGCGTTTCAATACGAGGTCCTACCCGATAACATTCAAATTGAAACGAGAATCATGGTTATTGGCAACCACTTCTCTCGCGTGAAAAATTCAATTAAAAAAGTTAACTAAAAAGTTTCTGTTTATGGTGTTTATTTTGATTGCTAGACCTTTCAGCACTTTCGTTTCTGCTTTTGCCGGCCGCATAATTTGCCTTCGTGACATGCAATAGTTTCATTGTGGTCAGTTCTCATACATTTTCGCTCCACTCTCATAGTATTTACGCTGAATCTCTCAACTGCAGAATTCCTATTTTTTTCCGAGCACACTTCAATCAATTCCACAAGTATGTTTCGTATCGACTCTTGTTCCACTGATTTCAGCTCTCAGACAGAGGCAAAAACAATTAATTAAATACGTAAAGATCTGGACGCCGCACAGTGGATTGAGTCAATCGGAGAGGTAGGACATGAGATTTTTAACTAAAACTAAAAAAATGTTGATGTTTAATTCGGCAAATTTTAAATTTAAGGGGTGCATTTAAAGAAAATTTTACGAGAAAACCAATGGAGCCACTTTAAAACCTCAATTTTTTGTATAGACGGAGTTATGAGCTTTTAAAGTCTCTAAATTTTGTCCGACCTCCGCGCGTTGACTCTATCCATTGTGCGCCGAGTTTCCACGTTCAATATCGCTCCTTAAAAAACCCGCGCTATAACGCGCTGCTGGAATAAAAAAAGAAAGTTAGAGTTGTCTCTCAGAGAATTTTTAGCCGGTAGCTTTTCCTGTGCAACCAACGAATTTTGAATTTTAAAAATGCATCCCTATTAATACGGTATCATACGGTAGACGCTGGATTATTGCGGTGATTGGCATCGGAGTTGCTGCTAATAATCCGAAACTGAGCTATTTGGCCAGGAAAAGGGATCGAAAAGGCTGTGTTTTAAAAGAATTTATTCACTTATCAAATAGTAGACAGAAATGTAAGTATTGGTTAAAAATTGATGAATTTTACTTCAAAGAAGTTATTTTGCCAAACATCACAATGACAATTTTTCTCTTGAGATATTATTTTGACTTAAGGCGTCGTTTCTTGTCGGAAAAATTTGGTTTTTTGGGGTTTAATCCGTACGGATTTAACTTCAAGTCATTTTTTTGGGGGTTAAAGAAACGTTGTTTTGTCATCGGTTTTTTACTTGAACTTAACGATACCAAAACAACGTTTTTTTTTAACTAAAAAAACTGACCTTAAGATAAATCCGCACGGATTTAATTTTAAAAAAATTGTTGACAAGAAACGCGCTTTAAGTCAAAATAATACAGGGTGTCTCACGAAGAAAGGAGCCACCTGGAATATCCGGCGAACGGGTTGGAATTTCGAAAAACGGTAAAAGACGTGTTCGTTAATATCGTGGGGGACACCTTTTGACGGATTTTAAATTTTCCCAAACCGCGGGAGGGGCGCGGGGCGGGGGGTGCCCCTCCTGTAAATCGAAATTTTCAAATGGCACCCCCATTTTTTTTATTTCAGAAATCGAACGCAGTTGACGTTTTTGCGATTGTTTTCAGTACATTTCTGGAAAGAATTTTTCTAGAAGTTAGCGACGGATAATTTCAGCGTTTTTGGGCCACAGCCACCGTAAAAACCGCGGATATTCGAGCCTCTACTACAGTTGGATAACATTAAGAAAGTCCATAACGGCTTGCAGATATTTCTTCCGCCTAGACGGCCTAGATCCTTCCAAGCTAGACCACTTTCATTGAGAATTGGGGTAATTGCAAGCACAGGTGCTAATTGATCGGGGTCAGGTGTGGAATTGTGGATGTGGACAGAGCGGTCGGCGAATTGTATAATCAACCCCAAAATCGATTAACGGGACGGTCGAATATGTAACTGCAGCGGCAGCCGGTCGGAATGGAATATGTGGTGGTATATTACCTTGATGGCTAAATCTGAAAACCACGTATTGATGACCGTAGCGCGAAACCACGTATATCATGTATGCGACGTAGCAGACTTCCTGTCATACCGTATTTTTTCTTCGGCAAACTAGTTTATCAAATTCCTTGAAAACTTTTTTGATTTATCCTCTTCTTCTTAGCAGCATATTCTGTGTAAATTTCAAGTTTCTTTTCGATAATTTCAAGGAGCTCGGATATTTTAAAATACGGCATAGGATATTCGTGGTTTCGTACTTCGGCCAGCGATATCTTGTTTGCTAACGTTACTGATATCTTGTTATTCTTTATCTGTTGTGTAATTTTCTAAAAATTTCCTTGATTCACGATCCCTTGTGGCATCCAATTATAAAATATTCAAAATTACTTTCAATCGTAATATCGCTCAGTGGCTCAACAATGATCAGAGTAGCGCCGGTTGCAATTAATTGCCATTTGAATATTAAATGTATTGCTACTGCATTGGCGTGTTTTGTAAGTTGCCTGCCTATTGATCATTGAAGGGGCTTCCCTCATGGGCAATTATTATTGAAATGAATTACTATGTAGATAGTTAGAGATGTATTCCTAGTATGAAAAGGATTTTGCACGTGGAACCAGGTATTTGTCGCCGCACAGTGAAACGAGCGAATAGAAGAGGTCGGACAAGACATTTTTGGCTAATATTTCAAATTTTAATGTTTATTCCGTCACATATTCAATTTTTTTTCAAAATTCAAAGGAAATTTCACAAAAAATCCAATGAAACCACTTTCAATCTTTCTTTTTTTCTCATATTTCCGAAAATATAAGCTTTCAAAGTTTTCAGATTTTGTCCGACTCCTCCTATTGATTCGGTCCACTGTGCACCGGCTAAATTTCGCTCTAATTTTATACGATTTTCTCTATGATTTCTTGAGTACAGACTAAGGTGAAAAGTGGACTTCTCAGCACTGTTATAAGCGGTATCTATTAGAAATATAACATTTCAAACACCAGATTGACAACCGAAAAGAACCTTTTTTTTTTTCTTCTGGCAAGGTAAGACACACGAAAATAAGCAAATTCCTCCGCGTGATATGATAGCGTGCATCAACATTTTCATAGAAAATGCGTGTGAAAATGACGAAATTTTCACCTTTCAGCCCTGTTTTTTTGAAACCGGTACAATGGAAGTTCTATTTGAGGAGCTTTTCGTGCTTAAAAAGTCCCAGAGAACATCATAAGAGGCTCAAGTAGGTAACCGAAGTTTTTGGTCGTGGGAACCGACTTTCAGCTAGCTGAATCAAAACTCGGTTCCTATAACCAAAAATTTCAGTCACATCAACCGGAAAACGTGGGTGTTCAATACTAATAGAACTTCTTTTTCCGTGAATATAAAATGAAAATGAAATTCAGTTGGCATGGAGCCGCTTGCTTCATTAAAGTCAAAAATTCAAAATTCCACTAAAGTTAAAAAATCATGTTTGACGCTGAATGTAACTTTTTATGGCAGACGCATTTTTGCATCTCATAGCACTTGCTTCACGTGTACTGGGGAAACAGTTCGATTATAACTTATAAGTATCGAAAATTTGACTATGTATAGCGAAGGCACCTAGGTAAATAAGTTAGTTAGTTATTATAATTTTAAGACATTCAGCGTCTCAGGCTATTCACGTCTTTACAGATAATTTTGAAAATGGGAGTATAAACGAAAATTTAGATTTTTAAATTAAAGAGAGGTGAAGAGTTTTAGAATTTTGGTGGTAATATTGGGTTCATCACATGTAAGAGGGTTGGTATTTCTGTTGATTGTAGGGGAGTAGATCTGTGATTGGAGATATCGGAGGGAAGAGCAGTCCATAAGTATGTGTTTGATGGTTAGAGGTGATGAATTGCAGAAGTGACAGATGAGTTGGTTTTCTTTGGATATGATATGACTGTGAGTGAAAAAAGTGTGACCTATATGTATTAACCAACCAACCAAAAATGTATAGTTCGAACTGTCGAACCGAATTTCGGTTATGCAATCTGAAATAAGTTCAGCAGACCAAATATTCGATCATGCAAAATGTGTAACCGATTTTTTTTCAGAGTATAAGGCCTTTCGATCCAAGAAAAACAAATTCTACATACCTTTATCAATCCTCCATTTCACTAGACGAGACAGGATCTTCCAGGCTCATCTTGGAACACGCGGACCATGCACTTATATTTTCGAGTGCAAGTAGAAACTTGGCACAGAGATACTAGAGCCGGTTCTAAAATCTAGTGATTCCCGGAAAAATCAGGGAAATCAGCGGAAAAGTCCCAAAAAGATTTTGAGCGCATTCGGGAGATCTGACCCCGGACTATCCACTCAAGTTTACGAGCGCGAGTATAGGACAAGGAGTGCGGAAATTTACTTGTGTAATCGGTTCACGAACTTTCGAATCCTGATTCCGGAAAAAATTGAGGGAAGTTGAGGTATAAAGTAAAAAAAAAAAAAAAACCACAAATAAAGAACAAAAAAAACAAAGTTACTATCGAGAAAGCTGGTTGTGAAGTTGGGCACGCGAACGGAGGCGTGGACTGAGGTGGCCCGTGCTGGTGATGGACAGGAAATCGGTGGCCTGATTGTGAGTCACAATCGATTAGCGCGGATTAGCCGGGATGTTATCAAAATCAGAATCGGAATCAGACCCGATTCCCATTCGGATTCCGAGTTCGCTGATTGCTCCGCAATCCGCATTGTGATCACTGATCGCGCCCGGTGTCGCTGTCGGCCACGGTCATGGTCGCCAAAGCGATCCCTCGCCCGCAGTCGAATTGAGGCTCGATTCATCGGTTTCCATCGCTCCTTTGGAGCCCCGCAAAAAATCGAAGGTGAATCGATTGTAAAACTATCGATCCATCGATACCGGCGTGAGGGTTTTCGCCTTTTGAGGATATCACGAGAATTCTCTGCTAACAGGGTTCCGATACAAAATTCCAAGTTTTGGAAAAATTGAAATTTCGGTGAATTTTCACGAGGCTGTAAAACATTTCAAATATCGACGGTGAAAGTCGGCAATCACATAACTCGTTTGCGGTGTCTGAAAATCTCCGCCTCTACGTCACTTTTTTAAAGGAGAACAAATTGATATTATTTCTTGAAGTTTTTGCAGAATTTTCTTCGCATTGAGAAGAAAAATCATGACAGTTTTAAAGAATTGCCGTTGAGTAGTTTTCCATTTTAAAAATAAAGTATCACAGGAAGTCTGCGACGTCGCAAACCGAGTAATGCGATTGCCGACTTTCACCGTCGATATACAGGGTGATCCAGGGTTACACGTCCAGACTGCAGGAGCGTGTTCTATGGGTCAAAATAAGACTTTGCTGTTGTATAAAGTTTTTTTCCAAAAGTGCCCCCAGTAGTCGGAGCTACGGTACCCCCAAAATTTTGGAAAGTAAATCGTTTTCCTGAATTTTGACAACGGTTGAGGCAAATCTCATGAAAATTCGTGCTCCCCTGTACGTATATGCCCTGAATTCGTAAATGATCTAAAAACATCGAAATCTCAATTTAAAGGGAGGGTTTGGGGGTGTTTCGGCTCCTGCAGTCTGAACGTTTAAACCCGGATCACCGTATATATTTTTAGTGCCTGAGTTTGCAACGCAAGCTTACATACTTACGCATCAATTGCCTCAAACTTTAGAATCATTTTTTCACAATTGAGGCATTTTTGGTAAAAATGCGTATGAGGCTTGCAATACTGCCAAGATAGTGCAATTTTTCATAGCGTTCGCGGCAGATGAAATTCTTTCTCTACATCCTTAATGAAGAATCAGGCATAAAATTGAAAAAAAAAAAAAAATCGAGTTTCAACACAGCTGAGGATAGATGAGATATATTCGGGCCTCGTTTTTTAACTTTTCTCCCAAATCTAAACGACACGACACCTCATTGGCAGCATGGAGCGGAGAATTGGAAGTTCACTCCTCACGCCATGGCGCCTTCAATTTTGTAGATGCAACACGGACCGGACATTCCTCAAGCACGAATAGTTGTATCTCTGCGCCGTCATGAACTCGCATCCTTTTCCTTGCTCTATTTCCACATTGCGTTTGTCCCATTTGTGATGTTGCATTAAGGATTAACTGAGCAAATACACGAACGAAAATAGGGGAGACGTTATCGGAATTCGTTTTTTTAACTCCTCTCCCAAATTTAAGCGACACAACGCCTCTATGGCAGCATAGAGTGGAGAATTACAAGTTCGCACCTCGGCCAGTTTTGCAGAATGCAACACGGACATCCATCAAGCACGAATAGTTGTATCTCTACGCCGTATAGTTGAAAAGTCAATGGCGAAAATCCCAAACCACGTATCTCGGTTTGCGACATTGCAGACTTCCTGTTATACTTCATTTTTTAAAATGAAAACCACTCAACGTCAATACTTGAGAACTTCCATGATTCTTCTTCACTGATGTGCGAAGAAAAATCTGAGAAAACTTCAATAAATACATGTGGAATATTTATTTGGTGTCCTTCAAAAAAAAAAAAAAAAAAAAAAAAAAAAAAAAATAATAATAATAGTAATAATAAAATGGGAGTGGAGATTTTTAGACTCCGCAAATGAGATACGCAGTCTGATTAGTTTCACCATCGAGATACTGCTGGCATATGCACGGCGATCTTGAATGCTATGACATAAACGCATTCAGCAAGAGTTTCTTCGTTTACCTGATTGGGTTTTCTTGAATGATGTCTTTTAATGCTAGATTTACTAACATATGATTTATCTTTTTCACTTTATCTTAAAATTTTTGAGAATAACGCCATACTTGCGCATGAGGCATTTTTGCCGAATCTATATTAAACCCCCTCCCCCATGTAAGGCAACCTTTTACCCCTGCTCTGAAAGTCGTACAATTTGGACTTACCCTCCTCCCTCCGTCCTATATTGGGAAAAAAATTATTTTTATCAAGAAAATATTATTCTCTTTTTAAAGTGACAAGCTTATGAGGCTGCTGTCAACCCCTCCCCTTCCTTACCCTTCGTAGATCCGAGTGAGGTAAGGTCACCCCCTAAGTTAAGTTGCTCGCGTAGTACTTGAATAGCCCCTGAAATAATCATATTTGGACTACATTTTGCGATTAGGATCTATATAAATTCCGGCCCGGTTTAAAAACAACGTATGTGCCATTGATTTCCCTATGCACATAAGTGTTTTTTCAGATGAACCAGAATTCATAGGTCCAAATTGCAAAATGCAGTCCATTTGAGATTCAGAAATAATATTTCTGAATGAAATATTCTATTTAGGGATGTTTGGTTTTGTTTTTTTTTTTTTTTTGAGTACCTACATATTAAGTACTCAAACATATTTTACACTCTATGCGCTGCGAGCAATGTCTTGATTAAGAGTCATAATTATTCCTTTTGATAATTTTGAACTGAAATATCCCGTTTCGTCGCTGTATATTCTGCTCCCGCGCAAAATTTGAATTCCTCCAGAAATTTGGCTTCTGATGTTTTTCGCGACTGTTGAGTGATGACACGCGGGGCAATGTTTTGTTTTGTTTTTTTGAGATTACAGAAACTTCAAATCGTCTCCTCTAAGTGTCGTTTTCAATCGAAAAAAGTTAAAATTTGTCAGCTTTTGTGCTTTTCAAATGCTTTTTAACTCCATTTTATTGCAAGTATTGTTTTTCCGTCATTGAAACAACTACATTTGAATATTTACACCGGCTTGTCTTTGAAAATGTCCCGATGCTCCATCAATATCTTTTCCTGTAGCCTAATGGTTTTTATTCTGCTTCCAAGTGCATAGCTCAAATTTGCCTCGTTCTCGAAGTTTAAACAACTGACATACAATCATGAACTGCGATGAAAGGTAAATCACCATATCAGCACCCTATTTCATGCTCCTTTTTAACGTAGGTACATAGACAATTCTCCCAGAAGTTGCGTTCCACCTTCGCTTCAACTATTTTTTATCGCAGAGTAAGTTGAGAAGTATTGAAATGAACAAGAATGAATAAGAGTATATTGTATCTCATCTGTAGTCTTGCCTAAATACTTTCTTTTCAACACAGTAGACGGAACATCTACAGGCCTCTCTGCTTTGTCTTAATTTGTGTTTTAGGATTGTTTCCACTCACTTTGACGGTGTAAGTCAGTAATCACATAACTTTGTTTGAAACGTCGCAGACTTCCTGCCATACTTTATTTTTTAACAGAAAACTACTCAAGGGCAATTCTTTAAAAGTGCCGTGATTTTTCTTCTCTGTGCGAAGGAAATTTTGCATAAACTTTAAGGAATGATGCCGATTTGTTCTCTTTTAAAAAAATAACATAGAGGCGGAGATTTTGAGACACAGCAAACGAGTTATGCGATTGCTGAATTACACCGTCGACTTGACCATCTTACCTTTATTGGCCTCAAGATGGTTTTCTTTAAATTTTTAAGAAACTCTCCTTATAGGCCAGGGATGAGAGTGTACCAGAAATTGATATGTATTACTGTGGTAGGACAGTTGAGACTACTCAAGGTGATCCGTCAAGCGCTCTGACATGGTCGAACTGGCATGCGATATATCTCATCGAGATATTTTGACCTTATCGATTCGATATATCGCATACCAGTTCGACCACATCAGAGAGCTTGACCAATCATCTTAAGGATCCTCTCCTCTAGATGCAGTTTCCTTCTTTTAAATGTGTATTAGTTTTGTTTGGCTGCAAAACGCTGATGCTCTCTATTTTTAAACAATTAACTGTGATCACTCTTATATTCCCTTTCTGTTAATTGCAGGTTGGCTGAAGAACTGGAAGCGTTACAAGCAATCCTCATGGATGAAATCATCATCAAAACTGACTCCGAGTAAGCTCAACGTTTAATTTTTCCGATAGTATTCTGATGCTAAAAACCTTACTTACAAACCATGAGTCAAAATGAAAAGAAAACCTAAACTAAGATGAATGCTGTGAAATAATCTGAAATATCCTAACAAGGGATGTAGTATTTTTTATCGAGACTTTGTAATCAGGAACTCAAGGTAGATGAAACACAGACTGATGAATAGCAAACAACAGGACTGCATAACAGCTTATTTACATCATTGAGTACACAGAGTCGTAATGTAAATGGGAGAGTTGGCGCTACTTTTAAGCGTTTTCCAGGTCCTGAATTCCGAGACTCCTGTGTCATGATGGGCCATTTTTTCGATACATAATCAATTTTTTTATACCCGGGAACCCGGCCGTCTGATGTAAACAAAAAGGATAGGAATTACTACGTATTCTACATCAGCATTTTGGACAAAAAATGTGTTGAAAAAGTGACTGAAGTTCGGCGCACATTCGGCTCGGAACTCGTCGACCAGAACATGGCACCAGCTCTCCCGTTTAAATTACGACTCTATGTACTCTATGATATACATCAGCTTCTCAGGAGGGAAAGAAATGTTTTCCAAGAGTCATATTGGGAATGTTACTTATTAATGGCCCAATTGCGAAACCATGTATTTTCGTTTGCAATGTTGCAGACTTCCTGTTGTTCTTGATTCTTTCTTTAAAAAAACTAGTCAAATAATTTTCTAAAAACTTCCCTGATATTTCTTCTCTGTCAGCAGAATATTCTGTGCAAAGGAGGGGTATAGATAAGAGCTTTTTTTGGCCTCACTTAGAATATGGAAATTTATGCAGGTTTTCCAAGTTGACTCAATATAGTCTACGGAAATAATAATGATTTGGTCCATAGGCCTTTGGATACATTTGAAATGGTTGCCTGAACATATGTCTGCAGGCGTATTCTAGCGGAAATGCGTGTTTTTCTATCACTCCAAGGCTTTTTTGACACCGAGCGCATCGTCTAACTAAAACGAGCTTTTGATACGTTAGCAAGGAGGCTTTAGAACACATTTAAACCCTGGTTTGGTTTTAGTTAGATGATGCGCTCATAGTTAAAAAAACTTTTTCAAAAGTCGACTTTTAAGGGACATCTGCAAAAATTCTATGTGGGGCCAAAGAAGGCCCTCATTGATAACCCTCCTTTCAAGCTTTGAAGTTGGCTTGTTTCTCCTTGAAAAAATAAAGAAACAGTGTAAATTTTGAAACATGGCAACAAACGTACCTGACTTTGCTCTTAAGCCATTGATATCTTTAAATACAACCACTCACCTCCGATAAAAAATCAGGTAGCCCAATAAAAATGGAAAAGCCCAATAAAATCACTTATCTACAATTGGAAAATTTAATAACCTGTCACACTTAGCTGTCAATCTCTGCTTATTACCATCAATTTTTATCACAAAAAACTTTTTCTTTCAGCGGAAATCCAACTGGCATAGAAATGGAAGTCTTACCAGTCACGGATCTAGACACAGATGAACAGTATGTGACTCTAACACTAGATGTGACCCTTCCTGTTGGTTATCCAGATGTCACCCCCATTGTCAAATTCCGTAATCCGCGGGGATTGGCTGATTCCACGTTAGATCTTCTGAAGGAGCAAATCTCAAATAAATGCGCTGAGTACTCTGGCTCACCAGTTTTATACGAAATTATTGAGGTATGAATATTACAAAATAAAAATTACAAAGTACACAACTGATTTTGAACATAAGCCTGGGATGTCAAATGCAAGATATTGGAATAAAATATTGACATTAAAAGCGTTATTGAATGAATATTTACCGACAGCCTGGTCTTTTCTATTCTCAATATTGGTTTCAGTAGCTTGACAGAGGATGATGTAATATTTTATCAAATAGAATTATTTTATCCCTTTTAACGAGAGGAAATACTGTGGTTTTATTTTGGTGAGGCATCTGTGTCAGGCGGTATGGTAATCAGTGAAAGTATTCAGGGGAAGAAATTTTACTGCCCATGCCCTGATTACCAATAATAAATAACAATAAAAAGACTTCTAAGCGGCCATTATTAAAATAAAAAAGAAGAGATTATAACTAGAATTAAAAGACAAAAATGTTTTGAGACCATAAATCTAATGCTTGAGTAAAAAAGACAAATCGCCAAGAAGCCCTATTTTGAAGTAAATGAAATGCGAAATAAGTAAATGATGATCACAAACATTATTGTTTTAATGATGTTGAACTCTCATTTTGGTTAGTAAAATTTGGATCACATTTTGCATAAAGGAACCAAGAGCATTCCAATGTTGCCAGGACTGTGCAACTTACATTCTTTGCAATAAAATGACTTAAATCATCCAAAAATCTAAATTGACAAAGGTAATTTTTGTCTTGAATTTATAGTTAATTAGGAATAAATATAAAACTTGTACAGATGATCACTATACTTATAAGATAAAAAAAAGTTGCACAATCTTGGCGACATTGGAAAATTCTTGGTTCCTTTTCGCAAAATGCAATCCAATTGATATCTGACAGCATTTGACAATTATCTGTTCTGTAGTTGGTCAGAGAAGGCCTCACTGCCAGTAACATTCCCTGCTGCCCTTGCTGCATTTGCCTGTATGGATTTCGACCAAGTGACCATTTCACCAAAACGCAGTGCTATCATTATTTTCATTCCAATTGTCTGGCCAACCACATCATCTCATCAGAGCAGATTTTCATAGAGGAGCAAGACAAGCTACCTCCATGGCAGAAGACGGATGAATTCCATGTAAGTGATCATATTCTACGATGGGGCAGTGGTACTCATTTCTTTAAATTCATTTTCTGGAAGTATGGAGCGAAGTAAGCTTCCAAGAATATTTCCAGATTTTGTTTAACCCTAAATGGCAAAAAACCCGTTTTGAAAATGCCTTAAATGGGACCTGTTTAAAATGATATTTTTGGTGGGCTCTGATGACGTAACCAGGTGAGTAAAACCGAATTTGCTGACTGGCTGATCTCAAATTGCAGCACTGCCTTGCAAGGTCAACTTCTGATCGGTCGGATTTTGATTAACTTTTCCTCCCTTCAGTAATAATTTGTTAAACCTCCTATTGAACTCTCTGGTTTTTTCACAAAATTCTATGTCGAAAAAACTATTTTACAACCCTGCGAACATTCCTTGCCTCTACCTCGTTTGATGACGAAATTTCAAGAAGATGCGTCTTAATTGCAGCATCTCAAAGTTCACCCAGAAGATTGGTAAATTTTGTATTTTAAAATATAATAACCAACTTGGTGTAATTTAAAGGGCTTTTACAATCTTTCTCTAAAGGGCTCTTTTTCTTTGAAAGCCCTATCTGGTTCACATTTTGATTGAGGAGGGTTTAATGAAATCTCTAGCATAGCATCATTAAAAGGACAATTTCAACAAATCTTGCGCAAAATTGTACAAAATAATTTAGGAATTGACTCTTGCAATGGATTTAATTACCTAAAATGAACTGCCTCTACAAACATTAAAAATACAAAGGAAGAAATTAGCTGTTATTGAAAATTTTAAGGTGGGTTCGTTCCTCCTCGAGTTTGTCAAACTCATCGCATTTTTACCCCGTATTTTTATTTTTGGCATCGGCAAATCTATATTATTCCTTGCAGTGATCAAGCTCTGAAGTTACTTGATTGTCTTCTACTCCAGATTTCTTAAAATCGTCCATTTTATGATGCTACGTATGTAAAGGATCTCCCTAAGTAAATCTCTCTTAATCACAAAGTAAACCTAATGGAATCAAATGACCTGTTTAAGAAGCAACTATGAATATAGCTTTGAGTGTTTTTTAGAATGCTCTCTTCTTCTTTCAATTAATCGTATCATAATTTGTTTTCAGCCTGTTTGTCCTGTATGTCGAGCCAACATAAAATGTGATCTGGAAGCGCTGAAAGCAGCCCCTCCATCATTAGACTTAACTGAAGCTCCGCAGAAATTTGAACCAAGTGAGGAACTGAGACTGTTACAGCAACGGATGTCCGAGCTGTTTAATCAGCAAAAACAAAGAGGCGGCACAATCCAACAGCCCAATAATACTATCATTCTGTCAAGCGTAAGTGGCTCCTTGCTATCATATTTTTTTTTGTATCGAAAAAATTTTCTTGTTTTCACATCAAAAGTCTCTCTTGATTTAATTTTAATTTGCTTTGATTAATAACAATTTTTGTCTACCTTTCCAGTCTAGTAGTAAATTTTACACATTTTATCAGTTTTCTGGATTTTAGCTGTCAACTGGAGGTGTAGCTAGAGGCATCATATCTTGGAGACCCTGTAATAACAATCTGAACAAAGTAGTAGAGTGAGATGAATGTTGATTTCAAAGGTCATTGCTCCTTTTCGCCAAATGATGATCGATGAGTAACCTGTCAAGGAAAAGACTTAATAAAAACTCAATAATGACTGATGATTGTCAAAGTGATCACTTTGTTAGGGCCAAACACATCGTCTTCTTCTGGCCAAAGTATCACAAGCCCCATGCGACGTTTAAAAATTTCCACTGCCTTTTTACTTTTTTACAGAGAAATTGTTCGTTGAATCTGTTTGAAAATTTCACTGAATTTTATCGACAGCATAAAGAAAATTCAGTAAAATTTTCCGACAGCTTCGTTAAACAATTTCTCTGTAAAAAAATAAAATGGCGGCGGAAATTTTTAAACATTGCATGGTGCTTGTGATACTTTGGCCGGAAGGTGACGATATGTTCAATGAAACAAAAATGTAAAGGATTGGAAGCTTAAAAATGTGCGTAGCTGTATCCTCGCGGTTTATTTTTCTTTTGCAGTTTGGATGATGTCATCCACTGTTTTTTTCAAAGATGGATTTTCAATTTGAAACTTTGCGTTCAGGCTGATTAAATTGATTTTTGTTGATCTTTAGTATTCAATCCATCAACCAAAAGTAGCTATTTTACACATAATTGATTAACTCAACAGAAATTTTTATCTATTCCTTATTACAGAATGTCGCAGCAGCAGTGGCCGAAAGAGAAAGCTGACGGTCAATACATTGACCTTTTTACTCATCACCATCTGGTCATTTCGCATTGCAAGAGAATATTTCAAATCATCAGTGTCTCTAACGCTCGCTTTTATTTCTACACTTCTTTTAGTTGTGATTTCCAATTATTCTTAATCGCACAGCTATAGCAGTTTCTTGGTAATTTAAGGTTCTGGGATCAAGTTCCCTAGGAACTGATGTTCTGTTAAGTGAGTCTGTTGTACGCAAAAGATGCATCCAAGTGAATAGGATTTTTTGTAGGTAAAATTGCATAAAATTCACAAAGTACACATCCAAAAAGTCTGAAATTTACTCCTTAGCACGCAATCTGCATAGTTTGCGTTTATTGCATTGTGTTAGTTGTGTTTATTGTGTTAGTTGCATTTATTTGCCAATTTCTCTTTCAATAGACCCGTCAAGCAAAAATGTATTTTACAGGGCTACAATTCTAATTCTAAATCGTAATCCTGAATGAACGCACCTTAGTTTTTTTACCATAGTTTTTTTGAATGAGATCTGTCATCCATGGTTCATTATAAATTTTCGTACAATGGAAAAATTCACTTTTCATACGTGATAATTTTGAAGTTGAAGTATCCTCATTTTGCACCTCTTTCTATTGATGAAATGAAGGAAAAATTTGTTAAAATTCTGATATTTTCTGACAGAGAGCTATCTTATTATGTATTCACCACAGTAATACTGTCATATTTGAGCTTTAATTTATTGCTATAACATTGTTGCAACATTTTGAGTCTTGTACAGTTCATTTTTTAAGGAAAAGTATTCAGCTTTCTTTCCCAGAACACATTTATGTTCTCAATTGTAGAGTAGCTTTGATCAAGACAAAATTAAAAGCTGTCACAAAAAATGAGGCTGCACCGGCCCCACATTTTTTGGCGTAATGTTTTTTGTATTAAAATTTGTTAGTGACACCATGAAAATGCTAAAAACATGCTAGAGTTTAAAAGGATGTAGTAATGTATATTTCCTCGGATGACAGGTATCATTTACTTGTTCCTTAATCGAAATTTCATGTAATGTACGATGGAGGCTTCAAAACTTTCCTAATTTAACTCATAAGTGAGAAAGTAACAGTTCTGGTCTATGTTCATTCACACAACAATAAGCAATCAAGCATTAATATAATTTCAGTTTATTTTACAACAGGATAATCGTCCTGTCTATTTAATAACTTTTTTTGACAGATTAAAAGTACCTTGTACCAGAAGAGGAAGACAATCTGTGTGAAACGGAGCTCTTCTTATTCACCTAACACATAGGTTGATTTCAATGCCTTATTTAGTCTGCGTTGATTATGATTTTTTTGATGAACAGGAAGTTTGAATTTATTATCTACAATGTAAACCACAAACGTAAACTTTTCACTTATGACTTAATTTTGGAAATTTTGTATGTATATAAAACGTTTTTTCGGTTATTCCAATGAAGCCGCATGCCTTTTAGACGTCTAATTCCTACCCTATCTTGGGGTCCATTGCAATAAAGTTCTAAACAGTTATCGGGGCATGCAAATGGCTGAGAAATTTTTGCCCTCAGAGAAAGTGAAGGAAGGGTAAAAATGTTAAGCAAAAATGCAAGAGAAATTATAGAAAATTTGTCAGAAAGTCAGGTAATTTTTTTTCTTCCTGAAACTTGTAGACACATGCAGCAATCTCGGTAGCAAATTGTATTATCATGGCTGTCACTGAGAATTTCGCATAAAAAAACTAACGGGCTTGTGTATTTTTCATGTAATGTATACTTACTTGCTCTTAATCATATTTTGAAAATTTTGTGAACTGAAACAGTTTTTCAAGTTTATAGGAAACTATTTCAGCAGGATACCTGTTTGCTGTAGATTTTGAGGTAGTGGTTAATTTACTCATTTTGTGATCTTTTTTTTCTTCAAATTTTTCTTTTTGTTCAAAATTGTATACTTATTTTCCATATACATCATTGGGCCAGTGAACAATCGAAATATGAAGCAAGTATCTATTTTTTGAAACTGAAAGTTGAAAAAACTTTACCTGGACACTCAAGAAGTTAGAAAATTAACTTTGACTCCAGATATATTTTGTGATAACGTTCACAATTTTTCAAATGGAAAAAGAAAGAGATATCAGCAATGTTTGATGGTTTTCTTTTAATCAGTTTTGGTTTGCAAATATTGACATATTCAACTTCTAGTTTTTTTTTTTTTTTTTTTTTGTTATCAAAGGAAGAACATGCAATGCATTGTCTAATTTTCTACTATTTGCACTGGCCCAGTTTATGAGTATCCGAATTCTCTTCAATGGTGTTAAAAGGAAAGTTTTATGTTTGTTTGTGCTTGAAGTGTAATTTTTTTAATAATGTTTCGAAGAAGCCAAAATTCTATTTTCTAATTGCATCCGAAGATTTTAAGAAAGGATATCTATCAATCAGTGCTTGAAATGGTTCGAGTCTTGGTTTTCACTGATCCAGGTAATTTACCGTGTGTAGAAAGTAAACAAATGTTGATTTTGGCATAGTCTCTCCCCCTGCTGTTACTGTGATTAATATATTTCTCCTTTTGATGAGTAAACCTAATTCAACAGCTTGGAATTACGGCCTATAATACTGTTATGCTTAGTAAGAACACCGTATGAGCTGAAAGCCCCCATTCATTTCTGACATCAGTGACTTCCTTCGCCAACTTGAGGTTTTAATGCTAATGCATTTAACTGCTTTGGTTTTTTTCATGAACACATATTTCGATGGCTAAATTCGAAGTTGCGTATCTCAGATTTCGACATTTTAAGTGTCTGTTCATGTTCCATTTTTTAAATTAAAATCCACCAACCGTTTCTTTTAAAATATCTTATGAATTAATTTTACTTCCAAAAAATATCACACAAAACTGCGAGGAAAGATTTTGATCAGTTTTCCTTGAGGAAAATAAAACACAATCAGAGATTTTTGAAAATTGCAATTGCAATACCATTTTTCTCTTTTAGTGATTGATTTGACACCTTGAATCTCAATTTTCACAGTAAACCAAGACTCTATTGGAAGACTTGTCTAATGGGCTCCATGCTAGAGTCTAAATTCAATCATTTTTTTTTTTTTTTTTTTTTTTTTTTTTTTTTTTTTTTTTTTTTTTTTTTTTTTTTTCATATTTCTCCTTCAAAAAATCATGTTCCTTATGGAACCTTCAAAGGAAGAAACAATAAAGAAATACCTTCATTCACTTCATTTCTTCTCACCCGTTTTAGATTTTTCAAACAACCAATCTTGAAGTATCAAAAAGGAGTTAAATCTTAAGTAGTTATTTTTGTCTAATAAGACAGTGTGTGTAAAGAGTATCATTTAGCGGTACTATGTTTAATAATAATCGAGGCACGGTGTCTTGTTCCATTTCATGTTTGATGTTCAATGTTTGGTGTGTATTTACAGCTAGCGTACATATTATGTATAATTTTTTTAGACTGCCGAAAAATAGTGATAATTTCTCCTGGTTTTTTATTCGGTCATGCGCCAATAAAGATGACGGAAGTAGGTTTTTTTGTTTATGAGTAGGAGAGGCACCGAATGAATTCTTTACCAATACTTATATCTGGCATGTAAATTCATAGGGCGTTGATTCCTCCCTCTGCAAGTTGTGATATTCTGTGAGAAGGCATCAATTTGACATACAATTTGAGTCCACGCCAAATAAGATAATACTTCTTTAGAATGCAACAGAAGATCTGTTGTCTTAATTCTTGTATCTACTTTCAGTGCTCAACTGAGGACAGCTGGGCGGACTCTAAAAAAGCGTACATTAATTGGCGTGAACTCTGAGACTGACAGTTTCACCCCCTCATGACAAGTGAAGTTTGGTGGCAAGTTTCAACAAGTTTAATTACGATTAAAAACGTGAATAGCAATTTCCTGATTTGAAATTTTAGAATAATATGGCCGAATTTCCTCTCTCTAAAATTAGAAGTTGCTGTTTTTTGCTTACTATTCTGACCACGGACCTTAATTAGATGTTAGGGTACCTCTCACTGGAGTCAAAAACTTGTGATGAGCCTTAATTTTTCTGCTTTCCAATACTTTTTTTGAACTTTAACTTACCAGGAGAATTCAAATTGTGACTTTTTTTTTCAAGTTGTTGGCTTTCATGGTGTTTGATGGGCTGGCTTAATTTTAAAATCTTCTTTTTCCATTTGAGATTCATACCCTTTTTTTTTAAATTTGCTTATGTAATCAACATTACGTACTTGTTAACTATTTAGTGTTAGATTTAAATTTAATCTAGTCTTTATCACTTAGTTTTTTTGTACTCCTAAATCATGCATGTATATCTTGCGTTCAGTATGTTGTTTAATTAATGCAATAAGATTTTTTATAAATTTGTTGTAGTCTCTTCTTAAAAACGTAGATTGACAGCTAAATTAACTATACTGTTCATAACTTTTGTGATCAAACTGAATTGCTGCTAAGAAAAAAACGTATATCTATTTACATCATTTTTTAATTTGTTAAATTATAACTGCAATTTTAAGCTAGGAAGAAAGTTCACTTGTTGCAACTTAATGTAAAAATACAGCATTTTCATTGTTATTGCAAATACGGTTGAATTTAATCATAGGAAGATTTTGTTTTGAAAAACACACCCAATTTTCGGAGTTTCTGGGAAATCCACCTGGAAATAATAGAAATGCACCCAAAGTAGAGTTTTCTGCAAACTAGATTTTTTTTGGATATTCTCGGTTTTAAAATCAACTGATTTAAGTACAAGAAGTACTTGTCAGGCCTAATTACATCAAAAATTTGTTACATAACGGTCTGCTTATCAGCCCCACTCCTGTCAAAGTGGATGAGGATACGGGAGACACCTATCAACTTTTTGGAGCATTACATCATTTATAATTGAACCCGAAATGGCTGGTTCATTTGTCAGCTATTTTATCATCATTCTATCAGGGAAGATTTACCTCGTCAACAGACCTCTACCTAACGAATGAAGTCAAGCACTAGACAACATGTTTTCTCCACAAAATTCAAAGAGAAAAACGAATTACACAATAGGAAGCGAGGGAATCAATTTCTAAACAAGATATGAGTGTTAACAATGAACATTGGTCCTAAAAATACAAATGACATTCTTTGTTTAATTTAAATTCCGATTGGTTTGTGTTGAAAATACCTCCTAATATCTCGCTCAAGAGTTGATTTTTGAACTTCTCTTTGTGTCAATCGCTTTCTGAGTAAGATTTTGAAGAGAAAACCTGTTATGTTTTTTCTAGGTCAAGCATTGTCTTGTGGCTCAATGCATACCTTAATTTGAGATAAAAGTGACCAAAATTTTCACAATCGAAAATCAATGTAGGACGATCGGAAGATAAAAACCTGAACATTAATTTACACGCAAAATCTGAGAAATAATGATGATTCTGTCTGAACTCTAATGTTTTTGGGAACGGGATTATGCACAACAGAATACTGTTCGATTGTATACACGGGAGGTCGAAAGTATAATACTGAAATTTTCCCGGAGCAGTCTCCTTTTTAAAGTTGTCCATTCTGTAGCTGAAGACCGACAATGACTGTTGTTGACATTAGAAGTAAGCAAAAGAACATCGTGAAGATAACTATCAGTTTTTGCCTCCTCAGCTCTTTATCCAGTCTGTAACAAAATTTAAAATAAAAAGGGTGATTTTGGTCTCAATTTTCTATCAGAGACTTTAAACCTGACCCTAATGAGGATGTCATGGTCACTAAGAACGTTCAACTCATATTATGCAATGTCACGCACATTGTATCAAAATAAAAAAGTGGACAAAAAATTATAAAAGCTTCCATCTTCTTTTGCAGCATTCAAAACTTTTTGGTCTTGCTTTATTTTTTAGTAGCAAAACAACCTAATATCTCTGTACGCAATTTTTGGATAATATATTCCAAAAAATCTACCTAGATGCACTCCATTTTATAACTTTCAAAGAAACCCAAAAGAAAACTGCTGCTTTGTACAAAGTAGGAGATCATTTTTCATTCGTTTTCAAGTAAATATGATGTCAAATTTTAGAAGGAAAAAATTGTTACTAACGATAGGATAAGGAAAATTTTACGACTTAAAATAGTTTGTCGTTTAACAGCAAAAAAAATTGACAGGTAGGATGCGTTACAAAGCAAATTGATGTATAAAGTCATTGTGTCTCATCATCAAAATGTCTTTAGTCAATACAGAATGGATAAAGGAATGAAGGGATGGAAATTACTTGAAAAAGAGGAAACATACGATATATGATATAGGTTGTCTTCTTCGTCACCCGAGTCTGGGTCAATAAAATAGGAAAGATCTCTTGCAGTTCCGTAGTTAGTCTTAGAATCTTCCGCAGTGTTTCTTAACGGAGTGCCCTCCTCGCGACCCATTTTCACAATAAAATGTTTTAACTTTCAAAGAAACACTGGTGATTAATAAAAACACTTGTATTTTTATTATGAAAAACTTTAATAAAATATATACACACACAGAAAGGGAGGACCAAATGCTGCAAGAAATGTTTACTATGTGTCCGAGTGGTAAACAACACACTCCCCTTTATCAATATCAGTCGTATCAAAGTGGAAGACAAAACAGGGTTGCAGCTACATTCTAAGAGTTTCTTAGTTGTGCTTAAGATCTACTGAAAAAAAACAAAGAAATTTCGACCTGTTGGCAGCACTGGATGTGAAAGTGAGATGAGCTCCAATCCAAAGGTCGCAGATAGAGAGATAAAGGTAACAGTTCCTAAATTTTTCTAATGACTACATTAACCCTACCAAAAAGGTGATAGTGGTCTGTTCCTCACTTGTTCATGCAAAGTGTGATTTGAGGTGACATAAGAAGAAAAAAAGCAAATTTATTCATAACTTCCGCTGTCATTTTTTTTTACCAGAACGCAAACAAGCATTTTTGAATGATGCGGAATAGTCGTCATAAACCAAAACAAATCCCAAAAATTGAGAAATGATTCTTGCAATTAGTACAATTAAAAAATTTGCTGGAAAATTGGTTGACATTAGCATGTGTCTGTTCTACTTTGAGCATCATCGCATACCTCACAGATGCCAAATTTGACATTCAGATTTGGAGATTTGAAAAACCAGCACTGAATTTCTGCATACTTAAACATTCAATCCATTTTCAAATTATAAGTTAACTAAGGACCAAATTACTTGGGTAGCTATTCAAATTGACATAAATTGCTGGACTAAAATGGTGTAGACATAGTGTACCTAAATTACTGCGATTAAAAATGAGGAACAGATGATACAAGCCTGCATATTAAAGCAAATCTAACTTTAAGTATCACAAGTGAAGATTTATCAATAACGAGCGAAGAACCGAAAATTTGATTTTGAGTTTTACTCACTTTCATTTCAGGTAACTGCAGCGACGCATACCACTAACACTGTCTTTCCAACATTATGGGCACTTCTCTGCTGTAGGTGCCCCTTAACTCGTTATGCAGCATATTGTACCTGATCCTTAGAAAGGAATGTCTCATCTAGTTTAATTTTCAAGTTTTTGGCATTTAGCCCGTCATTGGTTATAAATCTTCAGGAAATCATTAACCGCCAATTACGGTATCTATATACAGAAATAACTGGTTGACTGCCATATTGATTATTAAGTCCTGAAAAGAGTCCTGTAAATACACTCCGTGCTTTGACGAGCCCATTTTTCATATATACCTGAAGACTATTGCAGCATTTAGCAAATAAAATAAAGTTAAAGTTTTAGAAATTATCAATTTTTGGAGAGGACTTTGCGTTTTTTGTTTTCGAAAAATCAAAAGACACGGTAAAACTCCAGTGTTGACTCAAATATAGGGCACAACTTTTTGGCAGTCAATGAGTTATGAAAATAGAGGTATGTCACTATGTTTCTAACACTAAAAACGTATGATTTCTACATCATTTTAATCGTGAACTCAGAATTCTATCAATTTAACGATATCGTATGATAACAGCATCTAGGAAAACAACGTGAAAACATAGATGGAGAGGTAATGCTTAAATTTGACTGTAAGAGGTGGATAATAAATAGAATCTTGCAACTCTAGGCTAAGATAATTCTGTACAACATATACACAGTGATAAATATAGCGCCTCTATACAACCGGTTTTCTATCCTCCAATTGTAGTGATACGTAACACGGCTTTTTGTATGAGCAATGAGCATTGAGAGAAATCGGCGAATTGCTGAAGTTGTGGCACTACAAACTCAAAAATGCGATGAAAATTAAACAGTGCTACGGCTTGAAACAGTGAAGGGTTGATTAGGAGGGTTCAAGTATTAAGTAAGCCACTTACAGGATAGCTGCGTTCGGCTTTGCATAGCCATACGAGGGAAACAGGAGGTAGGCCCCTTGCTGACATAGGCTTCCCACTTTTAAGTATAAATACTATTTTCCAATAAAGATAATTGCTAATGCACCTGCCTTAATTATCAATCTTTGAAAGAATTTTCAGCCATTAAAATCACTCCTTCTGTCTGAACTGTCAAAAAGAGAGCCGTCCATTGGAAGTGCGTCAGCCACACTTGTTGCATTATTACATTATAGTGATTCAAGCTTGTATCTTGGCAAAAAGTAATGAGATTTGTTGGAATGGAAAGTTTCTTATTTTGACATTAACACTTATTGTTCTCTAAAATGCACAATTCTTGATTTAATTTACATTATTAATGCATATCATTATTTATCTCACCCAAGTCCCTTTGATGATCAGCGTGAAAGAACCTAAATGAGTTTCATTTGTCACTGATTGATGGGATAAAAGTGGGGGAGAACACATGGGATCAAGGTAGTGTTATGCTTTACCGCAGTAAGTACCGCAGAAAGATGTCTTTCATAGTCTTTCAAAAACAAATCAATGGTCAAGTGCAAAAAATGTGTACCTTGATAGCGACATTTAAAAGTCTCCAATTACGTATGTTTTATTTTCCTTAAGGAAAACTAATCAAAATTTTCCTTGCGATTTTGTGCAATTTTTTTAAACAGAGCACTGAGAATTCACAGAAAATTTCAGTGGAAACTATCATCAACTATCCTTTGAGAAAACAGGGACGAAGAATTGCAATGTCACAATTTGAGATATGCATTTTCAACTTTGGCCATCGATATGTCCTTCCATCAAAGATGTTCAAACTCAGCACAAGGATGGATCTTACTTAGTTTTACTAATCTATGAGATTTCACCATCTAAAGATGATTCTGTGACTAGAGCGATGGTCTCATTTTTGTCCTAATGAGGGTTACTTTCCACTTTGTCTCCTCTTACATTGAGCAATTGTTGACAGAAGTGTGCATTATTTTCATCCCTTTTGGGAAGGGATACCATGAGCCGAAACAAAAATGATGTGTTGCAAATCTCCGTTGAAATGATCCAGTTTCGATGAGATCACTGAAGAAATTAAACGACCCGACTTTCAATCCACTCCTCCACCTCTTGGTGACCTTCCACTGATTTTTCCGACAGACTGCTTTCAGCAAAATCGACGACAAACCGCGACTTCGAGAACTCAAAGTCTTTATCTGCAGGACACAGAGGGACTTGCTTACTGCCAGAATCACTGATACTATCCAGCTGATGACTTTTTGTAGATTTCAGAAGATTCCTGTAAATTAGACAAAAACAAGTTTTCAAATAATATTTCACATGATTAAATTTAGGTGAGAGAGCTCAACAATAAGTCAGATGATTGGAAAACCTCATCAGAATTTATTATGTTTATACCATATCAGTGACAAAACAAGAGACATTTTAAAATTAATGCTTTTAAAAATTTCAATTTTTTTTTTTTTTTTTTTTTTTTTACTAATGAAAACCGACCAACCTTAGTAGGCGCAGGAATTTTTAAGAATCCTTGAAAGAAGTGGTAAGGAAAGTATACAAAGAACTCAGGATGTGATTGGAACATGAACACCTTAAAAAATGCGGTGGTTTTAAAAAATACTTCAATACAGAATTAGTTTATCTAATGAGTTACTTTCCAAAATTGAATATATTTTTCTTTAGAGTGGCTTACAGACATCACTGCTGAAAATGTTTTTTTTGTGATTTCCCACCACAATTCATGGATTTTTGTTAAAATTTCAAATAACAGAGCTTGATATCCCTTCAAAGAAATAAAATCACATGAAAGATTTTCTAGTCCTGAGATTTGGAGTGAATGTGTCAATTCATCACAATAATCAAAAATCAAATTCTGGGTTTTACTCACAATTCTTTTTCCAATATGACTTGAACATCATTTGCGCTCTTGGAATTGAGTTCATCCTGTTTGTTGCAAGCAATCAAAATCTTGACTTGATTTGAAGCAAGGGTATGGTCAGTCAAAATTGTGAAGAGCAATCTGGAAGAATCAAATAATGAAAATATTTAAGTAAAATAACAGTGCAAAATGAGTAGAATGAAATAATTGTAGATTGTATTCTACACCGATAATAATAAAGGATTACTTTTATTTTGGTAAGAGAAACCTAAGTTCTGAGCCTGCGCCCAAGTTATTAAGAATACAGTAGGATTGGTATTTAAAGGGGACGGCAACCCTAAAATCGAAAATGAGATAGTATTGAAAATTGAAGCGGGAAGGTGTAAGAAGCAAAATGGTGTTGTCCTGATTGAAAAATTTGCAAAATCGGCAGAGATATGAAAGATTGTATGTCTGACTGGTGACATCATGCGCTCCCGGTGCGACTGTGGTTAACATGCACACAACTCGAAGTTTGGCGCATTTGCTGTCTGGCGCCACAAAGTCGCCATAATAGTCACAACTAGGCAAAGAAAAAAAGAGTCGACCAGGAACGAGCGAGATTGGGGCGAACTAATAACTTGTTGCGAACATGCGTAGGCTACTTGACACCGGAGACAGTATGTAGAGTGCAGACTGCAAAATGCGAGCCGAAGCTCATGACGTCACGCGCTCAGCTGTTTTTTCGTGATAGCGACTCAACGAATGTAGATATTCGCAAATGGATTTCAGCATTGTTCGTTGCACACTTTTCTTCGTCGATTAAGCCAAACTTGTTTTTAAGGTTGGCGTCCCTTTTAAATTGAGCATACTGCTACTTACTCAGCAATATCCCGAATTTCTTCCAGAATAGTTGACGAATCGATCACAAAAATGACAGCTCTTGCCAGGGGCTTGTACAGATCGAAATATTTGCCTCTCACTCGTTCACTTCCTGGAATGTCCACCAGCTTTACAACGCCCTGCACAGGAATAAACCAAAGCGATTAAGTAAATTAGAGGAGACAGGCCTCCAGAATCTATTAAATTTATCTTGAAGTTTAGACTTCTATGCTTTTTTAAAAGTCTTTTGTTCAAGATTTTGCAGTCAATTTTTACAGTCAACATCACGAACAACCTGACCCAAATTTTTTAGTACCTATATTACAAAAGAGGAAAAAAAGAACACATTAAAAATGTACAAATTCAATCAACTACTTTTTATCAACTACCTAGCTCAGTAGCAAACTTCAAAAAATTCATTTGTCATACGATTTTGTAGGTAATGGAACTTAAGTAGTTTCTTACAACCACTTTTAAGTTTCCGGAAGTCATAACATTCTTTTTATTGTATCTCTTTTTAGTTCCTCAACTATGCTAAATATTCAGATGCTGTATGGATTGTTGAGGCTTTTCTTTGAATTCTTTCGGATTTGTTAAATTGATTAATTCCCCCAAAAAGCCTCAATTTTGGATAAATTTGGCAAGACTTACATTTCCGAAAACACAATCTTCTGCATTTTCTTTGATGGAAGTTAGAGTCGGTCTGAACTGGTGCAGTAAGAGTCTTGCGAACAACAAAGTTTTGCCAGAATTACATAAGCCCATGATGAGGACATTCCTTTTGGCTGACTGTCTTCGTCGGTAGAGAATCAATATAGCTGAAAAAGAGGTAAATTAATCCATGAGTGAAAATAGAATGGATTAAAAAAAAAAACAAAAATACACCTTCGTATAAAAAAACAACAGCTCAGCATTTGGCAACCTGCTTTTTGAATTTTGTCTAAATGCAAAGAAAACATGTGCGTCAATTTCTATTCATGTTTTCTTTCAGCTTGAGTTTGGTCAGGTTCTTCAAAACTATGAACTGTTGAGACTAACACTTATGATTAGAACTTAATTTCAAACTCTGAGTTTCAGAAGAATAATCTCTAAATTGGTTGACCGACTTTCAAAAATCAAAAAGGCCAGCCAATTTATAAGTAATGACAAATTTTCTGTCACACTATAACCAACTTTCTTAACGTAGAATCTTTCCCTTTCCCATCAGATTCAGATTCAGATTCATTTTATTAATAAAAGAAAAACATAATACAAATTAAATTAAGGCCACTACAAAATAAAAGATGCCAAGAGGTCTAGCCTCGTGTGGCAGAAGTAGTAAAACATAAACTAATTGAAAAAGAAATAAAAGAAATCATAGACGATTGGCACCACTGCCTACTCAGCTCAGTCTTCTAAGAACTTAGATTAATTTAGTGACAATATAACAAAGTAAAAAACAAAAGAGAAGAAAAAAGAAAGAACACATTAAAATTTAAGACCCTAATTAATGATTTAGACGTGAAGGCATAGAGAGACTTTGGATTGCTGCTCGTTTTAGGACACGTTACTAAGCCACTCTCTGAGAAGACAGGGTGCACTCAACTGTCCCTCGGTGATCAACCTACGCCTGAAGGCTTCAGGCAGTAGGTTGAACACCAAAGGCAAATTGTAGGCAATATTTTTCTCAGAGAGTGCTAGTCGTATGGGCGGTAGAATTGCTCGCCAATCACCTGCTCTACTGACCCCAGCTCTTGTGCATGCTAATTGGAAGTTGGGCATCTCTGATGGGAGCATATTTAGGAGTCCCTTATAGTATAACTGTTTGAATGTTGGGACATTTAAAAGGGATGGCAGTTCTTCTGAGGGGTATCGCCTAGGTAGATTCAATACAACTTTAATCGCACTTCTCATTAATATAATTATTGGTTTGAGAATGGTGTCGGAGGCTGCACCGTATACTTCTATTCCATAGGAAACTGTAGCTTGGAATAACGCAAAGTAAACCATGCGTAAGTTTTCGACAGAGAGGTACTTACGAAGGTTAAGCAGACAATAGATGACAGATTTTAGTTTTGCAGCCATGGTTTTAACATGCGTATTCCAAGCTAGTTTTTGATCGATAATAACTCCCAGGTATCTCCACTCGTCTACCTCCTTCATTTGAACACATTTACAGCCTATGCGATTACAACTAATATGATGGTATTTTATTGGTGTTCTATCTATTTCAATTGGAACAAGCTTACAGGAGAATTTAATGTAGACGGATTTTTCTAGGTTGAGGGTTAGAAGATTTGAGGAGAACCAGGGTAGGATGACAAATTGAAGGCTATCTGATACCTTTTTAAATACTTCCTCCCATGTATCGCCCCAATATACAATGGATGTGTCGTCCGCAAACATGGTTAATAGCGCTTGATAGAAATCATGGTTACAGAGTTCATTTACATAAAGTAGAAAGAGTAGCGGTCCGAGAATTGAGCCTTGCCCAACTCCAAATTCAATTTCTTCAACAGAGCTATAACTTTTCAATTTGACAACTTGGGTGCGATTAGACAAGTAACTTTCCATTAATTTGAGGGGAATACCCCTGATACCATAGTTGTAGAGTTTCCCCAAGAGTATTTTATGTGACACAGTATCGAAAGCCTTAGAGATGTCAAGAAAAATACCAATGCACTTCTTTTTGTTCTCTAAACATTCCGTGATTTTCTTTACTACTCTTGCAATGGCTTGGGTGGTATTTTTCCCTTTCAAAAAGCCATACTGATTTTTTGAGATTACCTTGTTGATGGTCAAAAACTTATTAAGCCTTTTACAAATTAGTTTCTCGAAAATTTTTGCAATGTTGGAAATTACCGTGATGGGTCTATAATTTTCAGGATTCGTCTTTTCACCTTTCTTTTTGTAAATAGGTGTCAAAACACCTACTAAGCGAGCATCACTTGGAGGCTCAAGGCTTTTAGATGCATTCTTGATGGACATCAAGTTTTACTGGCGATTCCCCCTTACATGAGCTGGAAGTTCGAAGACCATTCTAGAACTCTTGTTGAGATAACAGTTTCTAACCAGTGACTGTCATGGCAGATCAACCTTCGTTGCAACAACTCAGCATCTTTACCTAGAGCTAGAGATCCAGGGCATCGAGTCAGGAGGGCGGTACATTTTAATTTATAAATCGACTGATATGAAAGTAAATAGATCAAGAAAAAGAATTAGTCAAGTTATAATCGAGTTTGAATGATAAGCTGCCATGAGAGCTTGTAACAATCAATAGGCTGCGATTGGGCAGCAGGTAGCTCATCGGGTAGTCTTAACAATTGGTCTCGATCGACTATCACAAGCAAACCTCTTCCTCATGCAAATAATGCTCAATGCTTAGCTCATGTCTTGCCTGTCTGACTAACCGTTATTCAGACTCAATTTGTCACCCTCCCGCCAAAGTATCACAATCATTTCAAAACAATTTCTCTGAAAGGAAATGAAATGGTGGTGGAAATTTTAAAACGTCGCATGGCGCTTGTGACACTTTGGCCAGAAGGTGACAAATTGTTGCTGATGTCCCTGATTCATACGTTTTACATTACATCAATTGCAAGTAGTGATTTTAACACTGAGTACAGCTTCGTTGGTGGCCCAATATTGTTGATCATCCGGCATTAGCGATCATTGGCCACACTAAGTTCTTGGCTGAATTAGATGATATGACATAAAAATATTACCCAAAGTAATGATGACAACTATAACAGCGACGATTATTCCATAGTATCGAGGATCAATTAAGCCACTCTTCATGAAGGATTTTTTGACCGATTCTTCGTTCGGCACTGACTTGTGTTCCATATTGATAAGGCACCAAAAAAATAACACAACAGCTATGAATTGAGGATGTCCTCACAAAGAAGCTAATGATCGATATAAGTGTTAATCAAGCACCGCTGTCTTCCAGAATACAACTTGATCCACTGATTCAGTTGATTTTAAAATTCAATGCACTGAAAATAAAATTCACGACGTGAAAGTAAAAGTTCACTCGCCAAACTTGAGCAAAGCAAAGCTGCATTTGCGAAGTTCCAAATATTCGATGATGTAAATTTTTAGGTTAGAACGTCCAATCACCTGATTGGGCCATGGCCAAAATCGTCCCTGATTGGACAATGATGCTAAACATTCGTTGACCGCGAAAACTAAAAATGCGCAGTGGTTCACTCGAAGCGTAAAGTAACGTACTAAAAATGCCTTTTTTTCGCATTTAGCTATCGAAAATCGAGGTTGTTCAAAGCTAATGGTATTTTCCTTCTAGGCAAAACTTACGATTCTTTAAAAAGAAAAATAATTAAAAACAGTTGAATACTTAAGAGCTGGCGATAATTAAAACACAAAGAAGAGAAATTATCAATGCATTTTCATGTTTTTTTATTTGAGGTCCGGATGACAATCCACAGTCATAAAAATTAAAGTAGATACCCACAAAAAAATATAACACCTAATTGAAAGTGAATGCATAATGCATACCTTTTATTTGTCCACCTATCCTTTTCAAACATTTTTTGGGTAGGAATGGAAATTCCTAGGAACTGGAAAAAAAATAGGTTTGAGGAAGGCTAAAAATATACTAAAAAAGAAGGTACTTTTTCTCATCGGATTCACATTAAGCTTAGAGAGATCACAAAAATATAAAAATTGTTAGCATGAATTCTACTTGGAATGGGGAATACAAAAATTGGGTAAGTCTCAGTTTGATTTTCTCCTCTAACTTCAATTCATTGGTAGGAAAAAGAGAGAAAAGAAAAAGGTCTCAATTGATGTATAAAGAAAAAAGTTCAGAAATACAAACAAATTTTGGCCTGATGACCATAACAATGATCTTAATAGCAATGATAAGCCAATATTGGTAACAATCATTTTTTTATGGAACTGATACAATTTGACAGATTTAACCGGAATTAGCGTAACTGCATTTGACGTTGTCCAATTTTCTCTCATGTTTCACTTTTTTTCAACAGAGAATTAAACTACTAGACGCCTTTAAAACTCCTATGAATTTACCGGAGAATCCAAAAAACATAAACACAAAATTTTGATTTTTAGTGTTACTGGATTTTTCGTTTAAAAAATAAAACATGAGAGAAAATTTGGCAACGCAGGGTGCAGATAGGATGATTCTCTATGAAATTTTTCCCATTTTAACACTTATTTAGCACATTCATTTCACACCTATCTTTCATAGGTCATATCATGCAGATGAAAGATTTTCCTTGCTCACAAAAAAATCTTATCTTTGATTGTAAAACTAGACTTAGTGGCTAGAGTTTTGGAGCAGATATTGGAAAAAAAAAAGTATTTTATGAGTCACTTGAAAGGAACATATACATTTTTTACGTGTCATAAAGTTTTGACAACTCTTGACAAAAATGATAGAGAGGCAATCCCATTACATTGTAAAAATCTCCTTCGATCCCTTGGATTAAACTTCCACCGATGCCTTGAACCCCGTAGCCACCTGCTTTGTCCCTGCAACATGTTATGAAGAGAGATTAATGGTGCTATCTAAACAGTCATCTTCCTTTCAATTCATTTCTTACAGTCTTAATTTATGAAACTAAATTTATTTGAGAGACATTGAGAGTAATCTCCAAAATTAATAGCAACATTTTTGGAAACTGGAACCATTTATTAAAATAAATTACTTATTTGTGTATTTTTGAGAGAGAGAGAAAAAAAAGAAATTCACTTTTTAAAACTTCAATTGAAGTTTTTCTGTCTCTCTCTAAAATTTCTGCCTAGAACCATATTTGAATCAGTGAGAATAAAAACAGAATGACTCTGGAAAATGAAAATGTTCAAGCAACACAAAAGGTGAAGAAAATGGTATGAAGAAAGTATTTTTGGTGCCGCTATTTCCAGCACTCCTAAATGCAATATCAAAATTTCCTTTTGTGTGAGGATGCAATCACTCATTGGCAATACTAAACCATAAAAAAAGTGGAGGTCAAAGAAAACCCGAGGTTAATGTGTTTTCATTCTCAGTAGGTAGTTAATTTCTTGTCAGTCTACATAAAGATTTTCTAAATAAAGCAATATGAAGGCAGTTGAAAACTATGAGAATTATTGGAGCTATTTGTTGTGAATTCTGTGAAGTTTCTCCACAAATTTCAGTTTAATTTCATGCCAGGGAATACATTAGATAGGTACTTATATATAGATAAAAAATAAAAGCAACAATGGGAACACTTACAAAGGCTCCCCTGTCTTGACGTATGCCTCAATCACAGATTTAGGTAGATCTCCTATCTTCACTTTCGTTTCTTCCGAAAATTTAACATACTTGTCGCCTTTCTTTATGATCACTCCTGTGTACACGGTATGCTGCTTTCCACTTAGCCTGAAAGTTAAAGATTAGAAAGTAAGGAATTAACCATCCCACCACATTATGCAAACAATTAGCGATGGACTCTTTATATTAAAGTTGAAACCAACCTAAGCAATCAACTTGAGCAGTTGGACATATTTTGAAAGACAATAACTGGATGAACGCTTAGATAATTAAATTTAATGAATTGTATTAATTATTATGATGTTGTTGATCCCAAATAATTTGGAAAGTTGAAAACTTACCCTAGAGGCATTTACTAGTTTTGGACTTACTTAGAGAGATGCAATTAAAAAATAAAAAAATATAAAAAAGAGAGCATTTCCTAGAATAATCCTTACGTAAAACTTGCACTACAAAATAAGTTATCAAAAAAATTGTCATCAAAATTTTGTTGAATTTTAAAAATCACTGAAATTGATGCTCAACACAAAATGAACTGCAAAATATGTATGCGACTAAAATTTTATTAGAATAGGTATGTCTTTTGTTATAAGTTACTGAGGCGATAAAAAATTGAGAAAGTGCTAGGTGGCAAATTAATGTAAAAAAAAAAAAACAAAACGAGAAGGATTTTCTCAGCTCCGATAGTTCAATAAATATTTTTAAGGTTTTCTCTTTGAAATTTATGAGGCTCTTTGACTTTTTTTTAATCCATCCATGAATATTTTGCAAAACTAAAATTACCTAGTGATGTGGGTTTGATTGTCATCAAAATTTAACAAAATGTCAAAGAAATTTTTTTTTTTATAACATATTTTGTAATGAACCTTCCCCTCTGTAAAATTTGGTCCAAGTAATTTGGTCTCTGTAAATGTTATAATCAAGATAAAATTATTTTGCAAAATCTTACTCTGTCAACATCGCTACTGCATGAGCATCACTTTCTGGTTTTTCTAAGATCTTATCTCCCAATGATACGACAGTGTCCGCTCCAATGATGAGGTCTGCTGCTTCACGGTCACTGACCTCTTTGACTTTATGGAAGGCTGTGTCAATGGCATAATCGGCATGAGTCTTGTAGTTTGACAGATCCAACGTTTCAGGAAATTTAGAGGTGACAACCTCAAACTTCAGACCCTAGAAGAAAGAGTAAGCCTGTTAACACTTGATTCCATTGGTCAGCAGCAAAATATATTAAGACAATACAAGGTTTACCATCAACTAGGTAATCGTTATCTACCTCTGAGTGAAAATTATGATTCAGTGCTCTTGTGAGATCTTGCTCAATTTTGATTACAGTTTCAGAATTAAAAAAAGATCATGAATGAAAGATCAATTTTCTTTTGAATCTTTGCGAGAGTTATAAGGTTGTATTTGATCAAAGGATGCTGGCCTGCAAAGTTCTTTCCGACACATCATTCTCTAATCCTGAAACTATTTGAATGTTTAATTTTGCAAATGATGGACACTTTTTCTGCACCGTCAAAACTGCCCAAAAATTATTGGGAGAAATTCAACATCAACATCTAATTTCCTAAAGCAACTCTGCAAAAATGTCAAATTTCTGTGCATTTCATAGGTATTTGACCTTAAAAAGTTGTATTCTCATTCCAAAACATACAATATCGTTAGGCTTGCTTCGTTGTGACACTTTAAAGTCCTACATCCTAGACTCTGATGAAAAATTTTCTTGAGCAGGAGCCGGGGTATTATTCCAGATAAGGATTCTCTTTCTATCTTCTTGCATACAAAAGAACTTGCTTTGAGAAAAGAAAATAAAGATATTAGGTATTAGGTTGAGCTTACGTATGAGGATAAAAATTAAGAGATTCATTTTCTGGAAAATGCTTCATTAAGGTTGATGAACTCAATCCCAAAACTTACGACTTGACTGAGAATTTCCTTCCGCCTCGGAGAGCCGCTTGCAAGAACTATCCTCTGCTTGTTCAATAGGTGCAAAATAGGTTCCAACATTCCGACCAAGCTATTCAGAGGCAAAGATAAATTTGTAAATGAATATAAGACATGAACATTTTACTTAGCAACATGAGGTGAGCGTGAAAATATATAAGAGAAAACAAGAAAATAAAAATAGAAAATGGTTTCGAGCATCTTCAACAAGATCTTTCTGATCTAAAGTGTTTCTGACAGCGGAACCTATATATTCACAAACTTTGATGACTGGTCTTGGATAGACAAGTTTATAAAAACACATCAATAGCGTCAAATCTCTGTATTACACTAATACTGATAACTATTTCTACTTACCTATTTAACAATTAATAATTATACGAGGGAAAGAGAATGAAGTTGCTCGCAAGACGTGATAACTGATAAGCCGGAAAATCAAAACAAAAAGACGGCATGCGCAATTTAGGTTAGTTTTGATAAGAGCTTCAGCAGTCATCAGGAACGACAATCCACCATTAAACGTACAGTATGTTGTGATTATAGGTTAGGGATTTCTCAAATTGTGGCAGTTGCGAATTTTTAGAAGTTTCCTTCGTTAAATTGTGACGTGAAATGTTTTAAATTTTAATATTTTATTAACAGATAAAATCGTAGTCAGAATGGCACAAAACTGGGTAGGCTGTGTAGTCTCGATTGAATGCACGAATTCCCAAGGCACCTACCAAGGTGTTGTCAGCGAAATCGATGGCGAAAGCCAAAGTTTAATCCTCACAAAAGTTTTCAAAAATGGCACACCTTACAGTCAACCCACATATGAATTGAGGTAATAGATACGTTTCTATTGTTAGTTTTAAGTCACTAAAGAGAGCTCAGAATGAGTCATGTATGTGAGCCGCAGGTCAACGCAGTTCATTGTTACCTGTTGGAGTTCATGCGCCATTAGTCCACAATCTTTCAGAGTGGCTCACGATATCTGTTGTTTTAATTTTATCATAGACACTACAGTAGTGAAGATGGTAAATTTTCCATCTCCTTTAATTTGGCTGATTCAACTGGTATGATTTCTGTTTTGGTTGCCAAGCGGGCTGTAAGCTGACCTGTATGAAATCTGTTTATATCCAACTGCTTGAATATTAGCTCTCTCTTTGTTGATGCAAGGGATGAGTCAGAGCTTGATTATTCACTCGGTCCAAGTAATTTTTTATCACTAGTAGAGTGTAAATTAATTAATGAAGATCTGATGCCGGTTTAACATGGAATGGAAGAAGTTTCACACCACCCTAGCTCTCAGTTTTATTTTTTCTTCATTCTCAACCTGTGTACCCTCAACCAAGTCGCTTTTGATTAATTTTAATCAAATCACATTGGTCCAAGAAGAGTAACTGTGCATGGATTACCAAGGCATATGGGGCCGATTTTTTATATTTTTGAAAGGTTTTAAAATCCCGATTGTGAGAAATGGTGAACGTTACACAAATGTTTGTACTTACCTTTGTCTCTAATAATGTGAAATACATTTGATCGACTGGACTGAGGTTTTCATTTTTCATTTTCCTTCCAGGGCAAAGGATATCCAAGACCTAAAAATCATCGAGGAGGCAAAACCAGCTGGTTCTCCATTATCCTCTAGCACAGTCCTTGTCAGGAAACCAATGCCTCGTCGTATGCACAAAACTGTTAGTGAAGATTTAGCTACAAGCAAAAACAGTCGGCCTGGTGGATCCAATGAGTCAGATAGTGATTATCAATGTAAGTATCTGTCCCAAAAGTGGATGTTTCATTTGGAAATAGTATTTATTTATTTATTTTAGCATTAAAGTCTCAGGTGATGAAAGGCTAAACAATCAACACTTTTTTTAAGTATGAGACAAACAATTTCAAAATCTGAAAATTTCTTCAAGTCCCATAGCTCATATAATAACTCATTTTTTCATACTGCAGAGCTAAAAGTTTGAGGAGTTTAGGTAATTTTTTTCTGAAGAGCTGTTCATATGAAATTTTAATCAGAATCACCAAAATCTCAAGTTTTGTAAAGAATCATTCACTGCCTTCATTGAATAGATGTTTTAGTCGAAAGTTTTGCCTATCTGCTGTGAAATGCAATTTTCTCCTCTCCTTTCAAAAATGAAGGCAACATCACAATTTTTTTAAAACAATGAACAACTTGATACCCTGAAATTAATTCAAATTTGCCAAGTTTTGCTATTAATCTAAGTGTCCGTAAGCCCTAGGGCTGTTCTATCGGTTGTCAGTAAGCTAACGAAACAGTTCCGTTAAGATAAAGTTACGATAAGAGCGCTCTTGCCAATAGTGGTCAGAGTTTTCGAAGCTGACGAAAATAAGATGTTGCCATTTGTACATCAACTTCAAGCGCCGCTGCGCCAGGCAATCTGATAAACCGACACACGGGGCAACAATGCATTGAGTGCGAGCTCTCCAAAATCCGGTAAGCTCCAATAAGGCCGGCAGTTGACGATATCATCGCCACTGTCGGTACTGCCGCCAGTTTCAATGAAAGACGATATTGATAGTGCTCCGGCAAGAATTCGTTTGAACACCCCTAGTAAGCCCCATTTATGTAGCAATCCTATACAATATTGCCATTATCTAATTATAATTGAATTAGTCTAACTGCATTTCACATTGCTTCATGGTTATTTATGTGAGACATTTTCAATGAGGAATGAAAATTATAAATTTCTCTCTTTTTTTTTCTTTCTTTGCCATGTCTTGTGGTCATCTCTTTCTTAGAAATGGCCTCCTAAAAGATAAAAAAACTGCCACTTTTTTATTTTTTGACTAATGTAGATGTATGTTCACAGTCAGTCCAGGTATGAATAACAACAAAAAGGACAAACTCAGGCAGAGGTATCCTGCACGAAACTGGGTAGACAGAAACGAAGCAGCTTTTGGGGCACCAATTGACCATCATGCAATGAACAAAGATTTTGACTTTGAAAAAAATTTGGCTCTCTTTAACAAAAAAACCAGTGAACAAGTAAGTACCCAAAGATTGTAATTTGCGGATTGATGGATGTGTCGTAAATGCGGGAAATTCTTACCTCAATTGCAACATTTGAAAATCTTAAACTAATGCAGATGGAAATAGAATTTGTTAAACAGCAAACCCATAAACAATGGGTACACCCAGTTATCAATTACATAAACGCTTAGCTCACTCATTTTTGTAGAGATGAAAGAACAATTGTTTCAGAGCTGCTAGCTCCATCTTAAGCCTTATCATGACCCTTTAATCCATCATCTATAATCTATCCTTCAATCTCTAAAAAGAGAGTGAGCTTAGAGTTTATGTAATGGGCCTGTTGCAAACTTTTGCTAGAGCAAAAATAAGAGTTGTTTCTTATAGATAATGCCTCAAAAATCACGATGAGCGCATCGGCAAAGTCTGAAATGCACTCATAACTTCACAATCTGCGTAAGAAATTTGCGTTTTTTTAAGCTTCCCGCTTCAAAAACGATACTACGGCATAGGTGAACATTTTGTTAGAGGAGTCGCTCCATCGTCGGCGATATTCATCATGGCCGACGCTTGCACGCAGTTCCGCGCGTAATTCAAGGAGAGTTCAAGGTCAATCAAAATCATAGGCGTGGAAAATATGAACGTTAACACACCGATTGTTATCTGGTCTAATCCAGTTCAGGTGTTATCTCGTCCCATCAAACGTGTTTTGGCGGATTGGCGTCGGCTATGATGATTATTGCCGACAATGGAACGACTCCTCTTACAAAATGTTCACCTGTGCCGTAGTATCGTTTTTGAAGCGGGAAGCTCAAAAAACCGCAAATTTCTTACGCAGTTTGTGAAGTTATGAGTGCATTTCAGAGTTTGCCGATGCGCTCATCGTGATTTTTGAGGCATTATCTATAAGAAACAACTCTTAGTTTTGCTCTAGCAAAAGTTTGCAACAGGCCCATTGATGACTGGTTTTACCCGCCATGCTCTAATTATGGCTGAAAGGACCATTAGAGAAGGTACAAATTCAAGCATTCTGATTTATTCTTTCCCCTCAAACTTTCATAAGAAACACAAAATGCCTAACGAAAAAACCAACGCTGACTCTTGACAAAGATGATGTTTTTATTTTGATTGGTTACGAAAAGTTTGGATATCCCACCCACAAGAAAAACAAGAGTCTACTTGTATCAAATTGCACATTACAATGGTTTTGGCAGGCTTCTCAATCATGCAGTGTTCCTTTTCCACCCTGTGTTGTTCAAAAAGGGAACAATGTGCAACAGTTGAGCTGAAGCGTTGAGATTGGGGTTGTCTTAGTTTCACTCTGCAAAAACTGTCTCAGTAATCTTTAGTGTTCAATTGAACTCGAATATTTATTGTGGTTCTTTTGAGCGGGAAGTTTAAATTTATGCATTGAATAATGTTAATATCCTAGTCAGGAATTACCTTCGTAAATTTTGTTGTACAAATCAAGTTCTACATGAATTTTTGATGAGAATACATACATCATAATACTTAAATTTGCATATATACTGGCCTATTTTGCCTTAAAATCAACGTATGAATGAGGCAAATAACTAGAGCTTAACTTCACATACATTTCCACCCTTTTCTGTTACAAGGAATCCTTAATCTTGTCAAAATAAAGTTATTACTCTGGAAAATTCTTCCTTTGTAACATGTATTGAAATTAGTTCAGTGCCCAATTTGGTTCGAGTAAACTTTGGTTTTTTTTTGTGAGCGGGAAGTGTGAATTGATGTAGACAACAACCGTTCTTCAAGGAAGGTGAAAAGTTTTAATGCCTTCATCGTTTTCTTTGTGAAATTTTGGCTAGAAAATGTATATTTTGATGCTTCATTCTGTAATCTGTCTTGTGACCCATTGTCTATCTTCACACCTGTTAAAAGTGTACCTTATTCTTCTATTTTTCAAGTTTTGTGAGTATTGTCTACATTTTTATTTTATTATTTTTTTGTTTTCTTCCAGGAATTCATGAATAGAAAATTATTAAATGCACAACGTCCAGACCTAGTAAGGCATGCAGAAAGTTCATCTGCAAACTATAGGAATGATGAAAATGTAATCTCCAATTCTGCGCCAACTAAATATCGGCAGATCCTGGTTGAAAATTCCTCCAAAGAATATTCTACAGGTAAATTCATTAAAATGTCTAAGAATCTCAATTTAAGTAAGTTTCTCAAGCAGGCAAGAAAAATTCAGATTTTAAATTGGAGGAGAACAAATGGGATGAAATGAACAATTTTAAGCAAGTCATGCTAAGACCATTAAGAACTTGATCACAGCAATGTAATCCTAGAAACAGATTAAAGTAAAAAAACTAAGCATAGTTTAATGAAAAATCAGTGAAAGTATTGTGCCATAGGTTGGAAACCAATTGCGCGCATAATTTATTTTTTTATCGTAAAATGATTATAGCGATTTCAGAGTACTACGTTGTCATGTCAAAATAACTGATATTATTGCCTCTAGGTTAGTTGTGTGTCTTTTAGTTATTCATTATGTTCTGTATTGTCAGTAGGAAATGATGAAATCATATCTTTAATAATAATTCAATTATTTCCCAGTGAATTTTAATGTTATTATTTAATTAAACATGATCAGGTAATAAATGAAAAACAAACAAAACGCATATTTAACTTGTGATAGAAAAATGCGAGAACCGTGACAAGCTGTTTTTTTATCTTTGTTACTGACTTGACTAAGCATGATAATAATGGAGGCACACTACTTTACATTTTTTTATATGTTATGTATCACCCAACAATTGGGTGGTATCCTAAAATGGCCATCGTCATTTCACAATAAATAATTTTGAATCTCAAATATTCAAGTGAGTCAGCAAAAAAAGTTGCGTGTGCCTCTGTTATTACAACCCCTTGACTGAAGTTACACCACGTTTCAATTAGCTTGTAGATTTTATGATTTTTAACTCAGAACATTTAGTAAGCCTTGGCCAAATATAAGTGTCTTTTGATGTGTCTAAGGAAGTCTTGATGCAACCCTCAACTAAAAGTTAAATTCTATTATTTTTGTGTAGATGCTGACTTGATCATCCCCAGCATCACGTATCAATTACGGAAGAAAATCTTTGACTTGGCAGAAGAAATAGGTCTATCGTTAGAGCGTCAAATTGAGATGATGGGACGTTCTGCATGCGAATTGGCATTGCAGATTTTAGGAGGACCATACAGGTTTGTTTTTTCGTTTTTTTCTTCAAATGCATACTTTTCTTCAATGTATTTGCACATTTGAATTGAAAATCGGAGAGTTCTTAAGTGCCAACACTAAGGCAAATCGCATATTCTCCTGTGAGGCAGGAACAATCAGAATTTTTTCACTTTTTGCAGCCTTGAAAAAGTTCTTGAGTTTAATCAATTTTTCAATTTTTTAAGTTATTAAATATTCAAAATTTGGAGATTTTGTCCAAAAATATTTGTAGGTTTTCGAAATTCCTAGAACTTAGAACTCTATGTCATTCGATAATTTTGTTTCATCAATTCATTGACTCCTGAAATCTTACTTTTCATGTTTCTTGTCACCAGATTAAATCCTGCAAATTCTCATCAGTGGCCTCAAGTTGTGATATTATGTGGTGCAAACAGGCCCGGTGCTGTTGGGATCAACTGTGGTAGGCATCTAGCATCTCATGGATTGAAAGTGGTTTTATATTTAGTCGAAGCAGCAAAGTATGTCACGTACACAGCACATGAGCTCTCTCTATTTAAATTAACAGATAACGAAGTCATCCATACAGTTAATGGTAAGTCTGCTCACAGTCTTTTAGTGAATCAATAGACAGGGTCAGAAATTTAGCATTGTATAATACGTTATTTCATCAAAATCACTTGCACAACTCAATAGACGCATTGAAAATTTGCAATTTTAGTTTAAAAGTGAGAAACTAGCGTTTTTCCATTTGATTTATACAAACTTCCTTCTCTCCAAGGAAACGGAAGTCTGCTTGAATCAAATTGGACACCCAATACACCTCAGTAAGTTTCACAATGACATCATGCTTGCCAAGTGTAAGATTTGTTTTACAAGATTTCGACAATACGATGTATTGTAAGAAGAGAAAAATATGCCAGTTTGCCAAATGGTGTTACTCATGAACGATTTCATAAATGAAGAAAAAAAGTTTAGGAGATAAAAATCTAATAATTTGCTAATTGATGAGTCAGTTTTAAGTCCAATTTGACTTTTGCACTGAGCGGATTTGAAATGTTTAACTTAAAGGGGAACAATAAACGCAAATCTCTTTTGTAGGTGTTAATATTAGGTGTCTTTACTATTTTAAGATTCTCTTCTTGAAATTTTGTCGAAAAAATATGTCCTGTACAATTTTAATTCTTACTCTAGCTAGGGGTCAAATACGATTCGTTTCAAGAATCTGTTAATTTTTTCCCTTTTCACCTTGATTGGTTCTATTTTAGTTGTTCAGTCACAAAATAATGTGTAATTCATCTGAATAGTTAATCGTTCTAATTCTGATTCATTTTCAACATTTTGCAGAACTCCCGAGGTCGAATGTTGATCTTGTAATTGTTGCGCTTGCCGATGAGTCAACCACCAGACTACAAAATGGTATCACATCTTGGGCGAACTACAGTCGAGTACCTTTACTGGCCATTGACCCTCCAACCAACGGCACTCCAGATCTTGTCACCCGATATTCCATAGTTCCTGTTCTACCTTTAGCCTACTCTCGCGACAATGGAAAAATATTTTTGTCCAACATAGGCATGCCTCAGCAAGTTTTCAAAAAACTCGGAATTCGATATCGATCACCCTTTGGGCACAAGACGGTCATTGCATTGCATGAGAACGAAACGGTCGACTGAGGATGTCCAGAAGTAAATTATGAATGTTTGGTCTGTCCACTTTTAAATCGATCCAGATAATCAAGTCAACTGACAAACTCTGGTTATTTTTTATTTTAGGGTTGATTTCAGAGGGAAGTATTCTAACTCCTGTGTAAATGTCTATTCAAGCTCTTTCATATAGATCTGAGCTCATTAACAAATTCTTGTGCCGATCTTTTCAAATATTTTTTGTTGTTGATGGTTAGATTTCAGAATCTTTCCAACAAACTGTACTCGTTATGAAGCTTGTAATGCAACCAAAAAAATCTTAAATCATGATCACAGGCAAGTCTTGTCAGCTTTTATTGCCTGTTAAATCTGGGTTTTATTTTTACTTTTTATTTGTAAAATTTTTCAAAAGTGATTTTTTATAAAGAGAGTCTCCATTTTTGGCTTTGCTAGGAATGAAAAAAAATGTGACTGTCACTCAAAACCGTACCATTTATACTAGAGCAGTCACTGGGAAAGTAACTGTTAGGCGATAAGATTTTAGTCTATACATTTTTTAATTTGAAGCTGTATAAATTAAGAAACCATAAAAAACAAAATTTTGATGGGTGATACCGATTAACGTGTAGTTTCAACTATAAAAATGCTAAATTTATATTTGTTGAAGATTCTCGCTCCAAATGTATTTTTTCTATCCATCCAATGGAAGGAACTTCTGAGAAATTTCCCATCAAAATGTTATCGGAAATTCAAATTAATTTTATCTGGATATGGTGGGAAGTTTCCTTTCCTGTTATTTTTATAATGTTACTAGAGAGATAAAAGCTGATCTCCGAAAGAAGCTTTTAAGATGTTGGAAGTTATTGGAATAAAATCTCAAGGATATTTTGCCACTAGTTGTTTCTTCTATGAAAATCTCTCGGAGGAAATTTAGTTTTCTTTGGGTACAATTCTCTGTAAAGGACCCTGCACATAAGAGGCAAGGAATTTCTTGCCGGTTCAAGTTTTTCATCATTTAATAGTCGAATTTTTAACTTTAACTTTCCATGTACCAATTTTAAAAAAAGCAGGAAAGAAAATTAGATTTTCCAGTCTTTGTTCACTCAGTCATTTCTCTAGGCAGTGTTGCAACACTAGATCAAGGATTGAGGAGAACATCTCTTGCCTTGATGGCCAAGGAAGAAAAGACAGACATCCGACACATGCCCTCTTATTCCTGCGTTTCTTCGCCTAAAAGCGTGATAATTCTTCCGATTGATAGCAGTTAGCAACTCACCCTTGCATTGTCTTAAATCCAGCAGAGTGGCAGTACAGTATCTCTAGTATGAAAATCCATGTAGGAATGCTAAAATATTTATATATTTTCTCGAAATTGGCACATGAAAAGTTTGTTTTTTAAATCGCAACCTCTAGAGGTTGTGAGGAACATCATACACATAAACTGTTTTAACAAAATTTTGCCTTTGCTCAATCCCTTGGTTTTATGTGTAGGGTCTTTAATTTGAAAATTCTTTGACTTGTTTAAAAACAGGGTGTCTGTACTCTGTAAGGCCAGGAAAAGGTGTGATTTTTAAATCTTTTTTATACGAAGCTTTGTGGATAGTGAAGGGAGGAACAGAGCTGCTTTATACCGCAATAGATACTTACTTTCATAATGTAATCCCAGCATGACTTTTAATCAACTAAAGTTCCTGATTAAGAATCATAAAAAAAATGTTAACTTTTAATTACTTTCATGTATGTTTTTTGTTCGCAACAAGTTCGAAGAACTTATGCGTCTAGGATAATTTTACAGAAAAAATTTTAATGTACAGATACTGTATCGGAAGCTACTGTTGTCTCAATTTAATTTTTTCAAATAAAGAAGGAGATTTAATATCTTGAGTCATTCGTATGGCATGAAATTCGGTAAGTGTCGTTGGAAATAGGCGCATTTTTAAAGTTTTCTCCAAATAAGGTTTTCTGACCTTGATTCTAATTGCTGATCAGAAGATCTGCCCCACCTTGATCGTCATGTTCTGATGCAAAATTGATGATGGTACGTGTGTTGCTCTAAAAACCTACCAATTATTTGGTGCAGAGTGGTGTAAGGAAAACGCATTTTTCACATAAGGATAGTTGGTTTTTTGACCAACGTGCGAGTATTATCTGAAAATTTCTAATTTAGAGGGAAAATGAAATTTTGCAAATATTTATTTTCCATCGAGAAATTTGCTGTTTGGTGTCACACTAGCCATGGCCAGTCAGGAAGACAACTGCAAACCGAAACGAGTCAAGTTCCTTACTACGGTTGCATCAAGCAGTAAATTTTTCAGGAGAAAAAGATTTGCAAAATGCAATTTTCCCTCTAATCAGCAATTTTTGTACTTTCCAGGATTTGTGTGCATGTTGACAAAAAAAAAGTTCAACAGTTTTTGTGTCCTGACAAATAGTCTTATGTTAGCACCCTAGTAAGTAGGGCACACACTATCTTTTTGAATGAGAGTGAAAGAAAATGATGTGGGTTTTCCTTGTCAAAAAAAAACTTTTCTATGGGCAGAAAGTCTGACAAATAGTCGTTAGAATGGGCCATTAGATTAGGTCATAAGTAGAATAAAGCGTCGCGGTTTTCTCTTCAAAAGCTAATTTTGAAAATGACTCACATAATGAAAATTTCGAAAATTACCATTGACTGAGACATTAAAAAGTATTTTTACACAGATCAAATGGAAAATAGATTATATAAAGAACGTTAGCTGTATTTTTGCCATGAAACCAATATTGATTGTGAACACTTATATCTTGTTCAGGATTTGAATTTTAGACTATCTGTTGTGTGGTTTGTTTCCCATTTGAAATTTTGATGAGAAAACATGTTACGTCATGCTTCAATTCATACCCAGTCTAGAGACCCATTGTTTGTTTGTTTATTTTTTTCCTGTTTTTTTATTTACAAAGCACCAATTCAACGGTAAACCAGCCATGCTCTGTGAGGCTTTCGGTTTTCCTCATCTTAGCTCGTAATGGAATTATGATCCGATTAACCATGACTAACAAAACTAAGCTTAAGAGCGGTGAATTTTATGCATTTCAAAAAATATCATTTACTAATTATTGTTGTTGTAATTATTATTTTTAGTGACATTTGATCCTCATGTGACGGAATCAAGTGGAAGTGATAATGCTATGGGAGTTTTTTTAAAAGACAAGTAAGCAACTGGAACTAAGTTTTGTGAACTATGTACTTAATTCATTTCAAATGCTTTCCCGTCTTGTATCTGATACATAAGCTGTCATTTTAACTTAACTTCTATTGTAATTTTTTAAGCATTTTATTGAATGACTTGAAGATGACTGATCTCATTTGCGTGAAATAAAAAATTGAAGTGTGACAATAAAGGGTTTAAGCCTTTAAAAAATCCTGTTGTTTTCTATTGTTCAAACTATCATTACGCCAGGAAGTAAACCGTGGACATTTTTGTTGCATCATAGATTTTGGGAATCTTCATTCGGTGTTGATTTACCCCAGTAACACAGGTTGCAATGAATGAATGGTAAAATAATTATTGCCATTTTATAGAGGTGTTGTGTATGTTGTCTATTTGCTAATTGAAGGGGCTCCTCAAATTAAAACTTATTGCAGTAAGATTGAAATTAATTGCATAGTGCACACCTCTTTTCACACAGAGCTCATTTTATTTATTGTTTGAAATCAGCATTCATTAACCAAGGTAGGAAAAAATTGTTCAATTTCATGCGTAAAAGTTGCAAAGTTATTTCAACATTTTCATTGCACTGTATCACTTGGGTATGAGAGTGAAAGAAACGAACACTTGTCTCTGTTTTACCTAATAAGCCATTTGCATGATCCTATCGGTAAGCTTTAATATTCGTTTCAATCACATTTTGAAATTTGGACTAAGTGCAACAGAAACACATCAAGTTAGAACCGAGAAAAGGAGGTTGGAAGTTCATTCCTCCATACGACTCAACGTTTTAAAGTATAACGATTCTTAGTTGCCGTATTTTAGAATCACTGTTGCTAATTCATGTCCTAGAGAAAAATATAATGGGTTATTTTTCCTGACGAACATTAATTGTAGAATCATAAAGAATCATGAAAAAACATCCTTCTTACTGTCAATCTCATGATCAAGCCAGTGACCCACTAGAGTTTAGGTAAAGGTAACAAAAATATATTTTTCAAGGAGGTTAAAATACACTTGGCTGAATTTTACTTATTGAAACAGATTTATTAAAAAATTAAATTAGAATGAAAATAATAATGCCCAAAGTAGAATTAACAAAATGATCCTGTAATCACTGTAGGTTTCAAGCACCATTCAAACTTACACTCTACATATTTGAGCTGAAAATCTGATTGCAAATGATGCTAAAATTGGTAATCATTAATATACATAGTCTAACAATAAAATAATTTTTGGCATCAGACCCAAGAGGAGGGTAATAAAATTAAAATTTTTCCCGAGAGGCAATGATTCCCTTGTTTTATTATATTCCCTCAACGGGAGGAAAAGTCTAAGTATATTTGACACGTACTTTGAGTGCCTGGCAAAAGCTTTAACCAGAGGATAATTTTGAGTCCTCATTTCTGATTGGCTAGTGTTGCAATCCATTGCAAATGCTTTCCTGACGATCTTCTGAAGAATTGTCGGTGACACATCGCAACATCTGGTAAAACTGGTTTGCAACTGCCTTTTTCATGGAGTTGATTCAAGATCTAGAGGTAGCATGCCTAAAGTTGGCGGAATTTTGTTACTGTGTTCCTCAAAACAATATTACACATTTAACCTCTGGACTGACAAATCGTGATAGAAGGGATTATTCTTCGACAAGAAGACAGACGCTTGTCCTCTAGTTATGTAGGAAGTGCATTTGACCAGAGGTGATAGAACTAGCCGTTATTGATGAAAGAGCAAGATTCAAACAAAACACTCACAAATAAAACCCTTCCACTCCATTTGAAAATCGAGAAGTTATATTTTCATAAGTTAGGTTCAAGAAGAAAGTAATAATAAGGTATTCGCACTCTGGAGAAATTCAAATCATAACTTTCTTTTTGAGTTTGAAAAACCGCAGTTTGCATAATGTTGATCGTAAAGTTGTCCTTCAAGTTGAAGACAATCTTAAAATAAGTAACGATAATACTACAATTAAAGACTTTCGTCATGTCAATTTACAGGGAAGAGAGAATAATTTTGTCAAGACCTAAACATGTAATAATAAAAACAATAAGAAAAAAAAAGAACAAAGAAAAAAATATAAAAAAATGACTATTTAACACATTACACTTGATATTTCAAGTTGGAACGAAAATCCAAGGAAAGTTAAGTAACCAATGGACCACTAGACAGGGCACAGGGTTTCCTTTTCAAAAGTTTATATTGCACACAATATATGCATTAAAACTTTCGTAATTCAATGCAGAGGTTGGAAATTAACACTTTTTGTCACCGTAAATTCAAACTTCCCGCTCACAGAAAAAGCAGAGTCTATTCAAATCAAATTGAGCATTAAATTGATTTTGGTATTTTTTATAATATGTGATATGATAGAATAATTTTCCAATGCACTAACTTTTTTTGACAAGATTAAAGATATCTTGCATCAGAAGAGGAAGGGAATGTGTATGAAACCAGCTTTTGTAATTTACCTACCTCACAAACAGGCTGCTTTCAATGGACAATTCGACCTACCCTGATAATACTTTTTTTGCAAGCGAGAAGTTTGAAATCACTGTTCATAATGTGAACTATGAACGCTTATTTCTCACTTATGAATTAATTTTGAAAGTTTTGGAAATTTTTTACATGTTTTGCATAAAGTTTAGTCAAAATGGCATGCTTTGTAAAGCTTTATTTCTTACCCTGTCAAGTGGTTTATTGTCTAAATTTAATTTTTTTTTGCTATTTTACCAGCTTAATATAATCAAATCTTAATATAAAAATAGTCCAAATACTGAAAAAACAAAATTCATCAGAGTGAAAAAATTAGAAATCATCGATTGTGAATCTTCGATTTTTACTGACGAATTGGTCCATTCAGCTGGTTTGTTCGAAAAGAAAAAGTAGAAGTAAACTAAGTCCATACTGACTGTTGTGATTTTTCTATGAACTCGACTCAAAAGAGGAATACATTTAAAATTGGGATGGTCCTTTTGTTTGAAGAGAGGAGTGACTTTTAAGCTAACAAAATGGTACAGTTCTTTCTTTCCTTGGATATTTATAAGGCACTAAAAATATTAACCTAAATATATTTACAAGATATGCACAATACTGTCAAAAACAACAGCAGTCAAAAAATAAGTAAATTGGTAAACTCTTCTCTGAGCCAGAGGCCGGTATTGAATTGCCGTTTGAATAGTTTGGATGGACTATCATCTTCGATCTTCTGAAAAGACAACAAAATTAATAATTTATTAGAGGTGGTAAAAACAGGTCTCAAGAAAAACCTCTGACTTCAGGAAAAATAAAATCCTCACTTTTTTTCATTAACATTCAACTGAAAATTAAATAAGGCAAACAAACAGTTCTACGTTTGTTTTAATATTGTGTGTCGGTTCTCAATTTTTTTTCTCTCTTTTTTTTTCAAAACTACATTTTTTCAGAATCTTCGTTCATGCGGTTGTGAAGAATCGAAAAAATCTAAAACCATCCAGCAAGAGGTTTATAGCTCGAGGTTTATCTGATGAATTTTCTTGATCCCTTGTGACCCTTGCAGCACACTCATACACTAAACCTAGATCCCCCTTTGACAATATTAAATTACTAAAAAAAAACCGCTCTATTCACTGATATTCTAATATAAAGCGGCCCACAAATATTTTCTGCAAAAACAGTTGCACAATTCTTTAAACTCGAATCATTTTGTAAAACTCAATTTTGACTACAGTAAAACCCGAATATATCAAATTCCACAGGAAGAACGAGTCAATATGTTAAATCGTGGAATATGTTCGTTTGAATTAGCTTGAAGCCCTTGAGGGGATCGGAAGATCGATCTATTGAATTGCAGAATCCGTTGAATTGCAATATGATAAATTGAGGTCTTACTGTGCCTTCTCTTTCGTTTGTCATTGTAGTGGATAATTTGTGGTAGGAAAAAAAAATATTACCTGAAGAGTTTGAGTCATTTTCTGAATTCGAGGAACCGGTCTGCTTTTCACTCTCAGGAGGTGGTATCCTCTCATTTTCTCGATTAGATGCAGCTAAACAAAAATCATTACCATAACGTAAAAAAAAAAAATAAATTCAAACCATCACTTTCAAGTTAAATAAGAGGGAGCATTGGTGATTGGCCTCTGACTACCAAGAAGGCTTCATTTAGTCATTGAGGCTGAAAACATCTTTGAACATTTTTCATATAATGGACCACTAGCCAAGGTGGAAATATACGCATTTAGATACATGCTTCCTCCAGAAAATTTTATTTTTGTACACAATCTGGGCAATGAAAATCTTTAAAATCAACTCCTGACTAAGATATTTACATTTTTATTTGCACAGTTTACGAAAAATTTAAATTTACTGCTCACAAGAAAAATTTATGCTGCAGGGACTGCTGCAGTAACGCCTGATAAGTCATTTTATTCAAGTAGATTATGCTTTTTTTATGCAAGACAAGTTGGAATTAATGTCTCAAATATATTATATATGGGTTTGGAATAATCTTCAAAAATGTTCGCTACACAAATCGTGTTCGACAAGAAATTTTGATTAGAAAACATACAACATAGTGCTTAAATTCGCACCATGTCTAGAGGTCCATTGCTTGTTCCATTGATCAAAATAATAGGTAGTTATTTCGTCCACTCTGAAGAGTGAGAATGCAAATCTAGGTTTTTGCCTCATCAAGAAGAATTTATCACATTAAATTTTAAAAAGAATGGGAAAGGAGTGATTACCCTCTTAGCCCTCTGTTGTTTCTGAGGCTCAACCAATAACATTAGACAATAAACACTGGCAAGAGAATCGATGATTGAAACTGAAAATTACAGAAAGCTACACTTCGTAACTGTCGAACTCTACTGTGATGATATACAATCCAGCATTCAGCATAATTGTGACAGTAATTTGGATATTCAAAACCTCAAAAATAATTTTTTCATTAAAATTCATAAAATGGTAGGTGAATAAAACGAAACCTAACTGAAATAAGAAATTATGGCAGTAAAAAGGAGCTTACCAAGATTGATGGGAGTAAAGAACATGAAGATAATCCCAAGAGCACAGGGCATAATACAGCATATGAAGATGACATACTTTCCATAGGCACCATACGCAATTTTATCTTTTGGTTTACTGAAAAATTCAAGGTTTAGGAATAAATAAAATTGGAGTCAAAGAAAGACATTACATTTTTGGTAAAAACTGTTAACATTTAACACACCAAAATAATTTAAAAGTCTAGATTTTGATGGAAAATGAAATGGGTGCAATTTCATTACATCCTTCAATGGCCTTCCAAAGTGGGAAAATGAAAATTTCCATTAAAACATTCACTACCAGGCCAATCAGAGTAGCAAGAAGTCGTTTCTTCAGTGGTCATGCCAGACCAAGACAGTTTCAGTGATCAGCATTTTGCTCAGCAATTGCCCATGGCGCTGCATTGCAAAGGAGACGTTGTACAGGGGTCCTCCATAGAAGTAACTGCAGAGTACAAAATTTAATACAAAATGCAATGTACTCGCCTTGAAAAATGCAGAGAAATTGTTGGTAAATACTAACAATTTAGCAATTCAATTTGGGACAGCATCTCACACTTACCAGAATTGTATGACCGCAACAACGACTCCATTGAAAACTTTCTCTATGAGACTCATAAACCCATAGACAAACGCACCATTGTTAGGATCTTGATCGATCAAGTCTGTTATTAATCCTAAAGCTGTCACAGTGAGAATTCCTGTTGCGATACCTAAAATTTGACAAATAAAATACAGTCTGTAATCATAGTTCACCATTTGGGTAGAAGATAGACATTAATCCAATAAAAGATTAGGTTTCATCAAAATGCAATGCAATTTGGGGAGAGTAGTGACTGCACTAAGGTTCGAGGATTTTTGGACAAAACAGAAAAACATCCACTGTGATCATTTATCCTCCGCTAATTTCTGGTGTAAAACTTAATCTGTAAAAAAATATGGATGTAGAGTTTTTTTTAAAATTTTGAGGCAAATTTGTTCTAAGTTTTCAAAACCTTCCATTTTGACACCACATGGACCAGGAGAATTCGTCTTCAGAGGCTGATACGCAACAAACTTCCTCTACAAAAAAGCGATCTGAGTATTTGATTTTTAAAAATTGGTGAGAAAGTTACATTAAATTAAAAAAACAGCATCCATTCTTTAAAGAGCAGCTTTTTTACAGCTTTTTCTCACAAATGGGTTTTAAGAAAACTTCAACGCTGCTGAAAGATTAAAATGGTCAAAAAGAAATGGTTTGCCTTCCCAATTTTTTAAAAAAATGTTGTTAACAAAGAACAGTAAATGTTTCGAAACAAGGGATAAACCAAATTATTTATCTTAAAAACATTAAATAAAAGGCGCTGATTTCCTTAAAATATGAAAAAATAATCTTTCCAGATTTTAAGGGCGGAGGCTTCAAATAGGCGATAAGGGTACTGGATGAAGTGTACTGCTTCTCCCAGAGGCTCCCTGGACCTCCGAAATTCCACATCATGGACTGGTTTTTACATCCTTCATTTTTATATTTCAACAAACAAAGTAATCGAAAACACAGGAAAAAGCGGAAACAAGGCTAAAATACAAAATATAAAGGCAGGACGTTTCGGTACCTTACGGCACCATTATTAACTGCTAAAAAAAAGAATTAAAAATAAAAACTAGCAAACGGCGTTACATAGTGAAATTGGTAAATCCATTGAAAAATGGTAGATTTACCATTTGCCGTTTGCTGGTTTTTATTTTAATTTCTTTTTTATTTTTAATTCTTTTTTTTAGCAGTTGATAATGGTGCCGTAAGGTACTGAAACGTCCTGCCCTTATAATTTATATTTTAGCCTTCTTTCTGCTTTTTCCTGTGTTTTCAATTGTCGTTTCCGTTTCGGGCTGCTTTTACATTCTCTTTGTTTTCCAAACAAAGTAAGAGATGACGCATCCCCATTACGGTGTTTTTAAATTTTTGCTCTTATTTTATTTTTTTGAAGAGGAGGAAGTCAATTTTATAGCTTGAAATCTGTACAAAATGTTCTGCTGACAGAGAAGAAAAATCAGGGAAGTTTTCAAGAAGTTACGTTGACTAGTTTTCTGAAAGAAAAATAAAGTATGACAGAAAGTCTGCAATGTCACAAATGGAGGTATGTGGTTTTGCACTTTGACCATCCATATATCTCGGTTTTAAACTTAATTCTCACTGCAGAATTGAGCTCTAAGTCCACCACTTGGTAGAGACACTCTTGAAAGCTCCAAGATTGTGCAAAGCCATATTTCTAAAAATGAAAGAAGTCAACATCGTTTCTTCCAATCGCCTTTCATGTTTCAGTGAAAATAAAAAAAAATCCTCAACTTGTGAAATTTCATTGTAGATCATTGAAAAGCTAGATCACTATCACTGGGAGTTGACTACTTTATTGCTTGAATTTTTGAGGCTGTTGTTCCTTTGAAGAAAAAAAATTACTAACCGATGACAGTGGCGACACCAAATATCAAATCATATCGATATAAGTCGCCGAAATTTTGTAAGAATATAAAAACTCCAGAGATAATGCCAAGTAGACATCCAATGTAAAAGGTAATCTGTGAATCAACAAAGAGAAATGTTAAGTTATAAGTGAGTAGAAGGATAATGCAATGCGACAGACATCTTGTGAACTAGAGTAGAAAACATTCACATTGATAAAATCGTACTTTTGCCCACGAGCTAGATTTGATGTACAAGGGCAATTGCATATTGACGGTGTAAGTCGACAATCACATAACTCGTTTGCAACATTTCTGAAAATCTCCGCCTCTATGTTATTTTTTTACCGAAAACAAATTGGCATCATTACTTGAAGGTCATGCAGAATTTTCTTCGCACAGAGAGGAAAAATCACTGCAGTTTTAAAATATTGCCGTTGAGTAGTTTTCCGTTTGAAAAATAAAGTATGACAGGAAGTCTACGACGTCACAAACCAAGTTATGTGATTGCCGACTTACCCCATCAATATATATACTATTTGATTACAAAGGGCAGCAGTTTCTGCTACAATTGTAATGTTTTTAAATAAATAGTTTTTATTTTTTTGAATAGAAATTATTTACAGCAAACATGAAAAAAAGTAAACAGAAAATCATAACATTTCATTGACAAATTTTAGGAAATGTTGATCACTGGATACACAACATATGACTGAACCACTTGTCTCATTTGCTTAACATACTCAATTAGGATTAGGGAAAATTGAGCATTTTGGATCATGAAAAATTTTGAAGATTTAAAACCAATGCAATTTTGTCCAAAATAAAAATCATCAAGCACAGGTTTTTCACATTTTGGATTTCTTCAGGCCTGGTTTTCCAATGTGATAATGAAAAGAATAAAATGCTCTTTATGCTTACCTTTCTCCCAAATACAACGTTCAGCTTCGTTGTCATCAGTGATGTTGTAAAATTGCTTAAATTAGTTATTAAAGGTATAATGGTGATATAAGATCGTGGAAGCTTCAGAGTTTCGATAACGTATGCAGGAATGAAAACTTGAAGCAGGTTGAAAAACAACCTAGCTGAAACATAAACTAAAGTTACTGAGTAGAACTTTCGTCGGCGAAAGAGTGACCACGGGGAGATTCTTCGTTGTTGAGGATCGATCAAGGTTTGATGGAGTTCATTGTCTTCTGAGACTTCTTGAACTCCCAAATGATACCAGAGAGTTTCTACCAGACCGACTGCCGAAATCACACCGACGATAATCTGAAAAATAAAAGATTAATGTCAAAATTTACTCTTCGTCGTTTTCCAAATGGTTAAAGAGGTAAACAATTTTCACCTGAATCTTGAAGAGTTCAAAGATTATGGTCTTATCTCAGTGGATTTCGTGATAAGATTTAGCTTAAAATCTATTAAAATTTGTGCGTTGCTGTTTTCTAAAAGCACGAATAAATTCACTGAAAGAATCGAGCGTTTTCAAAAAATATTAGGAACTTATGTTTTTGGATGAATGTCATAGATGATAGATTTGTATTCCTTATAGGGCAAGTAAATTAGAAAAAAATTCTCCGAATTCAAAGAAAAATTTGTCAGTTGTAAAATAGACTAAGTGTATCCAAATATTGAATGCATGAGCAATCTTTAACTGCTGCTTGTCTAAAATAACAAAAAATTAAGGTAATTAGGTCAATCTTGAGAACTTACGATAAACTGTTTATAACAGTTCGGGTTTAGATCTTCGGGATTTTCATCGACTAAAGGATCATCCAATTGCAGATAAGATGTTGCAACTTGTTTGTCAGGACATAATTCTAGGGCAACTAGGGCAATGACAAAGACAGAGGAAATTGAAAGCTGCGTAAAAATATTCCTAGAAAAGAAGAGAAAAAACAGGGTTTAATTAAAGAAATATCATGAAACATCTCTCATTAAAAAAGTTAGAATGAAAAATATTAATTTTTTTAGGGATTTTTGAGAATTTTCACATAAAATAGCTTCAAGCATTTTGAAACATCTGCTTTATAGGAGCGCAAATAAAGGTAAAGAATGTAATGTTTTAACAAAATCAGTGTTAAAAGTGTAAAATAAGGACTAAAAAACATTGAGAAAAGGAGATTCAGAAGAAAAGGGTCTATGTTATAAAACTTAATTTACCCTCATAGAATAAAGCGCGTCTAGCGCAACGTTTTAGAGTATTAAGGTAAATTGAGTTTTTCATTCACCTTTTTCTTTAAAATCTGTGTTATTTGTCATCCACTAAAGAATTCTGCAAATTCAAAACGTTTAGGTTGTGGTGATAACCCTTGACCACTCTTTGTAAAAAAAACTTTTCGAATACATGGAAAAGGGAACCCTGGTTCAATTTTTATGCATGGATTATAAGTGGCATTTTCCATCCCTAGTAAAAGTGAGTCAGCCTGATGTCAGGCTGATTCACTTTTACTAGGGATGAAAAAAATTTCCTTGAAGTGCAACACATTTAAAATACACGGTACTCACTAAAACCGATTTGCTGTAAATAAGTTAGTAATGTAAAGTGCATGAACTGATATTTACCTAAGGGACATGAGCCATGTCCTTTCTTGGAAGTTACTAGTGAGATCTGTGATAATGGCTAAGTGTGCAATTTGTACTGTAGCCCATCCAACTTGAAAAACAGCTATGAAAACACTGTAGTATAAAAGTTGAATGAGTTGATCCTCATTTTTCAAAAACGATGGGACCGGCATAAATACAAATGGGAATGATAGGAAAACAGCTATTGTTCCTGTAAAAAAAGAAGAAAAATAAGGTGAAAATTGAAAAGAAATTCAACATTTTTGATAACTAATCTGAATCAATGCTTGTAGCAATTTTCAATGGGTTACTTCTGCTCGGTACATAAACGTATTCAGATGATTAACGTTTGTATATGATTGAAAAATGTGAAAAAGTAAGGCAAGAGGCCGTGAGGAAGACGAAAAATAAAATGCGATAGCTAGTCTACAGCTTTTTGCATCATTTGTGTGTTTTTAGAATAGATAACTTTTCGCACTTCCCGGCAGGTATGTTGCCTACGCAGCAAAATTGGAGGCGAACTTCCAATAGACGATACTTAACAATAGGTTAATAGCATCGTTTATCAATCAAAGCTCATGGAGCGATATGATTGTGTTTTTTTCGAATAGACAACTATTCGCGCTCCCCGGTATATTTGTTGCCTATGTGGCGAAATTGAAGGCGAGACTTAAAACGGACGATATCTGGCCATAGGAATAGGTTCACGCATTATGTGTTGATTCTAGCTAAGCCTGTTAAAGAGGGGTACCTAGGCTAGGATGCTTGATTCTGTTTGATGATGCTTGATTCTTGTGTATTAGCTAAAAATAATAAGATCCATCCAAACAGCAACTTTCCACGTTTAATGTTAAACGAAATTTCACGCTATGAAAAATTCGGTTCATGAAGTCATTCACCGCGGTGGTGACACCGTTAATCTTTTCCACTATGCTTTCATCCGAGTTTCACGTTGAGTAACCAGTGCAAATGTGTGCCTCAGTGATCGATGAAAGTAAGGTGGAAGAGATCAACGGTGTCACTACCGCGGTGGATGACGTCATACCCCGATTTTTCAAAGCGCGATATCTCAGTTAAAATTGAACGTAAAGAGTTGCTGCCAAGACAGATCTTCTTATTTTTCGCTAATCTACAAGAATCAAGCATCAAAACACGATTCTGTAACCAGCGCAATTGACTCATTATCACTAGGCGAATTTTGCTTGATTTTTTGCTCAACAAGTTGCCCGTCAACCATCATTACCCTTAAGTTTTGCTTCGTCCAATTACATTGCACAAATTGGACGTGTTACTACCAAACGGAATAATAGACGAGTGGGAAAGGTGGTGTGTGCTCTAGAAAGCTGCATAAGAAACGACATTAATCCGCAATAAGCGTGATTTCTTTTGGAGAAATGGAAAAGCAGGATTTTACATTCTACCGAACGGAACTATGTGCCAACTAAATGCAGCACTCATGAGCCATGCACTGGAAAAAACCATATTGGATCTAGAGTACCAACTCTTAAAAACATCGACAAGAAAAAATACTCTTGATTCAATCAGATTTAAGCTTAAACCAAGAACCAAGCCTCTTAATTTGAGCGGATTTCCTTTTGATTTCAGCTTAAATCTGATTGAATCAAGAGTCCTTTTTCTTCTTAATGTTTTCAAGAGTCTGGACTCTAGATCCAATGTGTTTTTTTTTCCGGTGTGGGCATGGCTCAGGAATTAGTTCTGACCACGCCGACGCCACGCGGCGGCGGCTTCGTCACCGCTGACGTCAAGGGCGCTCCATAATTCTCGTTCATTCTTACGGTCCTCGACTGACGAGCACACCCCTTCTTTCCCACATGTCTCTGGTTCCGTTTGACAAAAATACGCCCAATCGATTTAGCAATCCTGATCTAGTTTGGATAAACTCGCCTTGCAAAAGAGGTACTCATGGGTGAATTTTATTTGATTTTTTGCTCAACAAGTTGCTCATCAACCATCACGACGCTCAGTTTTGCCTCATCCAATTTGAACAGTTGTTGTTCTTGCGGGTATCTGTGGGGGGCTTACCGATGAGATGTGCGGACTTGCGGCGTCCGTAGTTGAAGAAGCCGAACTTCATCTTGTCGGAGAGGAAGCCGATGAAAGGGCAGACGATGCCGTCGACGAGCTGCCCGATGAGAATGGCCGCCCCGACGATGCTCGGCCGGAACTCCACGACGAAGGTGAGGTAGACGAGGAGGTAGTTGAACCACATCGCCGCGCACATGTCGTTGAACACGTGCCCCTGCGCGAACGCCATCTGCGCCCCGACGGGCGATAGGAGGCTCGGCATTCTCTTCTCATCTGAAACAAACCAACAGAGTCACCGTTAGAAAGAGCAGGGTAGCATGAAACCAACAGCTGAAAAAACGGACACAGGGTATGCTAAGAGCGACGAAGATGGAATGGAGATGTTGCATGTGTGAGGGATTTGCGACTTGACCATTGATTCTTATGTAAAAGTTCGCAAGAAACACGATGGTGCCACTGGTTCCCTTTGAAATCAACTTCCAAGCTCAAAAAAAGCTCTCAAGTGAGGCTAAAATGGAGGGGATATCCCACCCTACCCTGAGAGTCCACCTCTACATCAAAACAAACTCTCCATGCGAAGATAGGGAGCAAATACATTAGCAGTGATGCCGTGTTTTCAGTTTTGGAGTCCCCAAATAAAGTGGCAACCCTGCCAATGTATCTGCTCTCTATCTTTGCATGGAGAGTTTGTTTTGATGTAGAGGTGGACTCTCAGGGTAGGATGGGATATTCCCTCCATTTTGGCCTCACTTTGAAAGCTTTTTTTGAGCTTGGGAGATGATTTCAGAGAAAACCAGTGGCACCACCGTGTTTCTCGCCAACTTTTACATAAGAATCAATGGTCAAATCGCAAATCCCTCACACATGCAACATCTCCATTCTGGAGAAGGTCGGTTGGAATATCAGGAAGAGAACGGGTCCGCCATGATAGAGTGCGTCACATCATACGGAGTCGAATGCTCATACGACGTCGAAACACAGCATAGGCCTTTTAAGCTCTAGTATTTGATGTCACGATTATTCTACCGCGAGTTCGAATAATCACGCCGTACACAGTACGGCTGGCGTTAAACCTACATTAGCGCCTGCAAGACTTAAGGAATACTTCACGCATTGCGCCAAACAGTGCGGTCGGCGTAAGGCCCATATTAGCGCCTACACGACTGCGTGAATACTTCTCGCATTGCACCAAACGCAGTGTAGACAGTCAATTATTGGCGTGAAACGCATATTAGCGTCTACAAGACTGTAGGCATCATGCTGTAGGACTGCGTGTCATCATTTTTGACTTTCTGCTCCAGTTTTTACTATAATTAAAGGGAAAATATTGTAATTTGCAATGGAAATAGAGGGTACGTAATAGATTGACTAACGGCAGCCCACGAGAGTCCCTAAAGCAAGTCCATCATTTTCTCCCTCTGTCAATGGGAACCACCCTTTTCAACCAACAGGATCGCTCCATATCCTTTTCGTCTTCTTTGTCTATAGCTTTGTCTATCGATTTCAATAATCGGCCCACTGGAGTCGATTGTTTCCCGTACATTTAAATGGAGGAAAACAGAGTTGCTAAATCTCAAGAATCGCCACTGCTGGTGGTCCATTCCATACCAGCGGGCCGATTATTGAAACTGAAAGACAAAACAATAGACATAGAGGACAAATAAAAGAGGTATGGAGGGATCCTATTGATGAACGCGGGTGGCTGCAATTTACAGAGTAGGTTAGTAATAGACTAACGAACGGCAACCCATGAGAGACCCTATAGTTAGATTTTCCCCCTTAGTCTACAGCGAGCACCCACTTCAACCAACAGGATCACTCAATACTCCATATGTCTTCTTTGTCTATAGCTTCGTCTATCAATTTCAATGATCAGCCCGCAGGAATGAGAAAGTCCTCTCTTGTTAGATCCCCATATTTAGTCCAGGCAATAAAGGATTTCACCTTGCAAAACTTAGGTCAAATCGGGTTAAGATTGATTCCGAAGTAATTTTTTACACTGAATCCGAATTTTTGGTTTCCCAACAAATTTTCCTTGCGCTACCTCCGGAAAATCGGGAAAAACGCGAAAAATCACGTTTTACCGCGGTTTTCCCGAGGTATCTCTTTTCCAGTGCGATATACCGAAAAAATAGTTATTTCCAAAATATAATCTGATAAAAATTCCTACAAATATGATCCGAACGGTCTTCTCATAGGTTCATTAGGGAGAGTGCTGTAGCCGTGAAAAGCTACAAAAACTCGTAAAATCGGGATTTTCCGCGGTTTTTCTCCATTTTAGTGAAATAAATTTGTTCTCTCGCAAAATTTCAGAATAGTAATACCTTAAAAATTAATGCTGACTACTTATTACAGGGTACGCGATTGAAAAAGCTTGAGAATACTGCGCGTGCGTCAGTCAAAGGAGTAACTACTGCAGGCAAAGCGCAAGTGTAAACACAACACCTCAAGAGTAGTGACCTTAACCTTCTTACCTAGAGAAAACATGTATACCTACTCCGAGACTCCCTGCGCGAGTGAGCGAGTCGATAAATCAAACAACGATAATGCGAGCACCGTCGCTCACGGTTGCCAACTGTCACGCACGCGTGCATCGGAACCTAGTCACCGAAGACCGTTCACGAATGGTTTCATTGAACTCTCGATGATTCACCAGGCAGGGAAAAAAATGGTCCTAAAAATTGTATAGAGAAAATACCTTGAACACATCAAAAACTTCCAAAATTAACCCATTACCCGAGTAGCAGTAATCGCGATAAATAGCGAGTTTATCGGTTGGTTATCGCGATTATATCGATGGAAATACATCGAGATATTATCGCATTAAACATCGCAATATAAGGCGATTAAATCGCTACACATCGCAATTTTTGGTTCGATAAAATCGTGATCAATTTTCGTCGATAAAATCGAGATTAAATCGCCATTAATCGAGATTAAATCGTCATTTATCGCGATTTTTATTTAGAAAATATTGCGATAAATTGGAAGGCGATGAAAGCGCGATTTCATCGCCAATAAAATGGCAATATATGGCGATTTTTCGTTGAGAAATGCTCGGGCATCAGAGCCAAGTCATCTAGGAACGTTCACATTCGGTTTCATTGAACTCTGAATAATTCACTAAACAGGGCAACAAATTGGTCTTAAAAATGTTACAAAGAAATACCTTGAACACATCAAAAACTTCCAAAAATAACTCAGTAAAGAGAGATTATTTTGTTTGTAGTTTACATTTTAAACTGAAAATCCAAAGTTAAAGTTAAAATTACATCAGAGTTAAAAAATTTATTTTTGACTCTAATTATAATTTTTGGAACTCCTGGCTTTGTTTTCCCCGCGAAATGGTGTGGACCCAGCACCATTTCTTCACCTTGTTACACGCAGTTCGGGCCACTTCTTATCGTTTTTTTCCCACTGAAAATTCAAAGTTTATGTTCGCGAAAAAACCATAATCAACGCAGGTCAAATATGCATTATAAAATGAGGTGCTTAAATCGGAGGACAAGGCGCATAGGTGCAGTTTTTGAACAAATTGAGATATTCATGAACTAAACTAAAACTAGTTTGAAATTCATAATCATCATAAGTAACGACTTTTACCGACGGATCAGTTGCGAGTAAAGTCCTTGACTTTTCAGGTACTACAAACTTTCCGCTAAAAAATCTAGTTATGTGTTTTTTTCAGAGGTTTTTTTTTTACTTTTTACGGTGGTTTCTTCCAAAATCCAAGAATACCTTTATTTTAATCGTAAGAGACACAAACTTTCATCCCAACCTTATTTGAAAAGGCAACAATTCAGCTGAACGCTCGGTGGCTGATGACAGACCTAGAGTTTTATATTTACAGTTAGCGGTCCTGCAGCCTTACAGGAATTCTCACATTAGCTCCGAATACGAGATCAAAGCGAAAATTGATGATATCTGACCGCATCACCGGCAGTCACGTCGTGCAAATTTCAATAAATTGCCCTAGTTATGAGTTCCCTTTTGAGAGACAACAAAATATTAACTCGCTGGAAAAACTCTGATGTATTCCAGACTCATTGCCATGCGAGAAACAAGAACTCTAACCAATTGCGAAGCGTGAATGGTAGATTATCGATACTTCCCCCATTTGAAGCTATGGTAAAGAATCGATTACTTAAGGGTTCGTCGCAAACACCCCGTTTATCGATTCTTTTCCATAAGTTAAAATGACAGATCCATCGATATATCGCAAAGTACGTCAGGCCACTGACTCTGACGTCTAACACAAATACGCGCGTATCATTAATAGTGATCGCCCATGAGAGACGGGGCCTTAGACCACAAAAGCTCAAAATTGAGTTATTGTTATCAGGATTCTGAGAAGTGATACAGGAGCATTTTTTTTAAAAAATCCAGTTGAGAGAACAAAACTATTCTAAACTCTAATCTGATACGTTTTGGGCACAATATTGTGAGACTTAGAGCTCGATTCTTCAAGGTTTCCATAATTTCCCCAGTTTCAGTTGCCTGACTATTTTTGCTTTACCCTGACTTTCCCTGATATTCAAATAAAGCTTCCACTTGAATTTTTGTCCTATATTGAATTACACTCACTTTTTTTGGACGCCATTTGCAAAATTTCCTGTCATTTTTTAGTAATTCCCCGATTTTTCCGGGTCGCCATGAATTCCCTGACAATCCCTGACTTTCCGGGTTCTCCAGATCGCCGGAAACCCTGAAATTTACCCGGGCTGCCACCAAATCCAGAAAATGAAATTCCCTGACACACTTTGGTGAAATTTCCTGACAATTGAAGGTATGCCAGATGGTTGAAAAGACACAAGTAGAGATAGTTTTCAGGCAAAATTTGTTGTTTGAAACGTCAAAACCATTCTAGAAAGCAAATGAAAGTGACCTTACAATTTTTCCCTAAAGTTTTGAGGTTTCCTCTGACATTTTCCGGTTTTCCGGGTATTCCCTGCCTGTGGAAACCCTGATTTACGCGTCGACAGAAAAGTGAAAAAAACCGCTGAAAGGTATTCGGATTTACAGGACAGTCTGACAACGTTTAATCGTTTGGATTAGCATACAGACTTTCGCACTCGCTGTTGAACGGAGAAGAACGGAAGTCCGGTTTAAGGAGCGGATTCCTATAGAACGCGGGCTAGTAGATAATTTTTAAATTCAACTTCCGATCGCTTCGCGTTCGCTCGGGTCTGCTCTTCACCGGAGACCGGAGTTGTCCCAGTAACCTTCGTCTGATTCTGACACCCACCCAAGGCACGCGGGCTCCACGCGTCGCG